AAAAGCGTATTACTTAAAAGTGTCCTTATCCTATGCGAAATATGTTCTTCGTATTTACCTAGTATCGCGCGCCGCTTCCGTTCGAGTGGGGATATCTTATGGAAATCGTATTCCGTATCGCGGAACGATAGATATCGTTAAGAAGCAACTCGATAACTACTTGGTTTTATTCGTTCCGTCCTCGCTCCTGCGAGCCCAGAAGCTCGTTCTATATTTTAATGACGCAAAAATTCATCTCTTACCGCCGTTTCATTGTACCAGACTCGAAGGAGTTATTTGCGAGAACGCGAATCCCCGGCGAACTCAATAGAATAAAGGGTACTCGTGCTTATTCACTGAACGAGCTATACAAAGTTATCGCAATTTTACGATGGAAAAGGAGGAAAACTCGTTTTCACCGGCTACCCGAACTCGAAACCGAGATTACAAATCTTTCTATTCGATACAATAGGACATAGGCCTCGACGCCGCTGTTACGTGAGAACACATCCAAGTTTCGTGTCATCTGTTTCGAATTAAGTCCATCGGTTGTTATGCAAGTACTCGCCTACTGTGTATCGATTGCCCGTACAAAGCAATAGAATATGTATCATTACGCAACTTCTTATCGAATGAGAGTTGTCTAATAGTGTCTAAAAATGTTCCTATCGTTTCCACACCGTACGATAGCAACAGCCTTCTTCCCTCACTTGCTACTCGACTAGGGAACATCAGCCTCGTAACGATTCCTCGCTTATGCTCGCTTACGTTATTTCTCCTACGTCTGTGTAACAGCAAAATCGTTCCTTATGTCATAAAATGCATAACGTTGAGCAGACTGGTTTATTACCATGTAGCTATACACTGAAATCGAGCAAACGTGCGAAATCGAGACAACGTTGGCAACTTTGGAATTTCAAATGACCAAGTTTAACCTAACGACTGACCGATATTTTCTACGATACTCGTCCTTCTTTCCATCGTAGTCGCCAAATAATTCGTGTTTACCTCTATGAACGAGAAAACCTGTGCATCGTCTCACGGATAATACACGTGCAAATGCACAATATATAAACGCATGATACTAATTCGTATTTGAACAATAGTATTCGATACCGAGTATTTTACGACCGCGCGTAAAATTCTATTCTCATTCGAATTTCCATATTTTTAAATTCATTTCCAGCAATTTTATGCAACTCGCGTTTATCTATTTTACGAATTAAATTTACTTACGAAACGAAATAAACTAATGAAATAACATGAACGTTTATCCAATATTCCTACGATGCGAAGGTTGTCCATGCAAACTAGCATAGTCTCTCATGCAAATCTAGCACTGCAGTGTAAGAAATATTAAAAAATCGACTAATGGCCAAATTTGCAATTACAATTTATAACAAAAGTCGTCGATTAAACGTAATAATTTGTCGCTACTGAAATTAACGCGGAACTAGGATCCTTTGTCCTAAATCACTCGCGCAAAGTGTCCCTTTTAGCGAGGAGATTGCCAACTTCTAGTTTGTAAGTGATAAATATTCATCGCAAAGAACGAATGGAATTCTCGGAAATAAATTCATTGCCAAATTCCAATCTACCAAGTAAAACCTAGTAAAACCTAGCCAACGCGAGCTAAGAGAAAATAACGTGCACAGACCTATTTACAAAATCCTGAGACTATCGAAAGCTATAAGATTCTCAGATATGAAACCCACCATTACACCCAACGACTAGCTAGCCGTGCCTCTAGCGAAAGTGTTAATATTGATAGAGCCACGAGGAACAACAGACAATCAGCGAGATAGTTTTAGGCAGCGTGTATCTAAGCGTGTATAACGGGAGGGATCTTTCGAAATACGAAGAAGAAGGAGAAGAAGAAGAAGAAGAAGAAAAGGTAGAAGAAGATGGAGGAGAACAAAAACAAGACAACGAGGAAGAAGAAGAAGAACAAGAAGTAGGTATCTCAGGTAGACGAGCCTCGAGATAGGTTCGGTAGAAACTGGAAGAAGCTGGATGCAAAAGGTTTCCTTTAAGGGAAAAAAAAGAAAAAAAAAAAAAAAAAGAAAAAAGGGAAAACACGGGGAAAAAAGAGAAGAAAAAAAGAGCAGCAGGTGTCGGCACAATTCAAGCTTTCAAAGGGAGAGAGCTCTTAAATTTTTTAACTCAAACATAAGGACGGATGATACACACAGTTCCTTTCTTCTTCGCTCATTCTTCGTGAGAAGATTTTGAGTATTTCCGTGCACGCGAACGGGGACACGAAGCTATTTGAAGGATTACATAGGAATATGTTTATGTCGAATATTAAACGACTAATGTATGCTCGCGAAAGCAGCACCGGTGCAAAAGGACTGCTCAGAGCGGGGCTATAACGATGCTATTTCTAGTTACGATGGACAACCGTGCACGACATTATAAATTTCTAAATGGCAGTTTCGGAGGTTTTAGAGGAAATGATACGGAATTCCGGCACGCGAAAGTTCAGTGGGAAATAGTGAGAAAGTTATTAAATTGATAGATTAATATTGAAGCTATCGAGAGGGGGCTGAATGACTGGCTTTGAATATTTTATTTTTCGCGATTTCTAAAAATTTACACGTAGCTGCTTTTGGGACAATTAACGTTGATTTTCGTTTAAGTAAGAATATAATTGGGAACGTTGCTGAGGAAAGGACACATAAGCCAAGAAGCCACATAAGCGTCAGAAATTTGAGTTCTAATAGAGATCGAGCGAGTAAACGATATCGAAATGCTAAATTTTATTTTTAATATTTTTATGTTATTACATTTACATTTTAGAAGACTATTTTTAGACCCTTGGCAATTCATTAAATCCATAAACCTATGGATCCTTTTTCTCGGAATCCAATATAATTCTTTGCTTTCCGCTATAAATATATTGTACCGCTATAAGTATTATTATTTGCATATAATACTTATAGGTACCTATCTATATAGATAGATTAGATTTATAGATAGAATATGCTTTCGGAAAAAATAATTATGACCCAGTTTTAAGGGGAATAGCTACTCGATATGTTATAAATTTTTTGTTCGAATAGCCAGCAAGGAAATAGAGAGATTTTATTGATAAACCCGAATACGTGTGAATCGTGATAACGTACGATTAAATTAATATCGCGGATAAAATTACACGATACAAACCGCGTGACGTCAATGGCGAAATTTGATTAGTTTTTCAATTCGTGTATATTTTAGCATTAAGCTCTTTTATTACAAAATGACCCTAGGATTAGTATCGAACATGGGTGTTTTTGAAAGACTAAAAGATATGGAATATGGAGGACATATTTCATAAGCTTCGGACACGAATATTATAGCAATTAATTGTTCGATATCTACATATTTATTCTTAATATTTAAAATCTATATCGTACTTGTGATATCATAAATTTTGCGATCTTAAAAATACCTAATTTGAATTCAAATCTCTTCAGCTATGAAAGATATAAGAAATTTCTTTAATTATTTTTACTCGAGTAAATCATTTACATAATTTATTCAAATTGTGTCCGTTGTATTAAATATTACCAAAATTATCACAATTATATTTAACGCTATACCAGCCTATACCGTGCAACTAAAACGATATAGAAGAAATGATAATAATTAAAGTGTTATTGTGAAAATAAATTATTATTTTCTTTTTAGTACGAAATTAAAAATTTTAGTGAAAACTCGACGCTGTTTATTGGCCAACCCGATATGGTAATATTTTACCTGAATGAAAGTCAACATCGATTTTACCAAAAATAGCTATAAGTAATTTTCAATAATTGTTACGCTAATATGTGATCCTACTTTAAAAAACAAAATATTCTGTTAGATATTAATTTCTTAATTACAATTTATCCCAAACCTAACCCAAACTTCATATCTATTGTACGAATAATAATCTGCTACCTTCTTAAGCTTAAAAAAAGAAATAAAAAGAAAACAATTATTCTGGCGCAACTAAATTAAATATAATATACAAAACGAAATAAAGATCCCTGTCTTTCGACCACCCTGTTGTCTTATACAACGAGATATTCAACGTGACGCAACGATAATATTATTTCAAATCGTTTCTTGATGCACCAGATGTCCAATTTCGCATCAACCGGGACGCTGAATCTCTTTTAGGCCGTTCATTAATTTAAAGTGACACATGTAGGAAACGCATAAACCATTTTTATTCTGCAATCGGCTTCTATGTGGGATCCCATGCGACCTCAGAAACTCCCTGCCTCCTTCCACTAACGCAATCCTGTCAGATATCATCATAACGCGAGTAAAGCATTTCGAATATACTCCCTCTAAATGACCTATATTCAACATCCACTGCTCTACGTCTAATGATACCTAAACTTCAATTAGACGTATGATAAAAAAGATACTAAAATTTACACGATACCCACGATTTTATTACATCGCGAAAACTGCGTAAATAAATAAAAATTTGTTTCTATTTTAAAAACCAAGTTTATTCTTTTTGAAGAAAAATAAATAAATAATTATACATTGTAATATTCAACGTTGATTCACGAATCTCGACGCGTCGTGATTCGTAATCGTATATCTACATGGAAAATAAAATAAAATCGGAAAATACACGCTAAAGTACGAAATTCCAAAGTAAACAAAAAATGGCAACATGGAGGCTGGAGGAAACGTATATAAAACTTTCACCCGCGTAATTCCTCACTTAAGAGGTTAATTGTGCTAAGCAACTATAGTAACAGTTCCATTTACTTTACATCTTAACTCCGCGACCAATGTGTGCAACATGTGCAGCAAAAGTCTGTATATGCACGGGCTACGCCGCCATATCGAGGTAACGAAACGGTGATCTTTGAATCGCCTAAATAAATAAACGATACGGTAGAAATTGGACGCTGAACGAGAACAAGTTACCCGTTCGTTGAATAAACGGCGTAAGATTAAAATAAGAAGAAAAAAGTAAAAAAGAGAAAAAAAAGGAAAGAAAAAAGAAAGAAAAAGAGTGAAAAAGGACTTACCCTGCATTTTCAGCGGCAGCAATGGACATGTGCCTCCTCTCATCGAGGATGGCTGTGGCGTCAAATTGCCGAGGGAGATCCGTGGTAATGAGTTAAGAGTCACAGTCGAGTGTTCTCTTTTTACACGATGTGCCACCACCACCACTAACCTCTTTTCACCACACCCCCGCACAAGCAATAATGCAGATAACACCACCGACGATCAACGAACGCACCACTATTATCACCACTGACACTATTGCAATTCGTCAATTCGTGAAATCTTTTCTTCTTTCTTCCGGAAAGAACGGAAAACCCGTGTTTCTCCGTCGAATTCGAAAGCACAGAGAATCAAGTACCTAGTAACTCGCGAATCCGCAAAAGAACGAACAAAAAAACGTAATATTTCGCTTCACTCTTGGTCACTTCGCGTTCCGTCCCGTGTTGATCGGAAAAGTGAAAAATCAACGAAGACGAATAGTTTCCTTTCCTCGACCGACACTCACTGACCGAACACGCGTTCTTAATCGCATCGTCCTATCGTGTGTTTCCTCTTCGTTTACCGACATTCGGAGTGTCCTCTACGATGGAATTGCCACGTCACCGACACAAGATCACACCGTCGTGCAAGAGGAATAATAACGAAATTAAGTACACTTTGTTTTCTCTGATCTTCTTGGCACTTTACGCGACTCTTCTTATCGACCGAGCACACTGTCGTTTCCTTTTCGCCCTCGAACACCAGGTTCACTTTTCGACACGGCACCTTCTCACTCGTTCACGTGCATGCCCAGATATTCCTATCTCCTTCTCGTTAACCGTATGCGTAATCTACCGGCGAAGAATAGAAACCTTAGGCGTTCCTGCTTTTTTAGCTCGCCGTTGTCACTCCTAAGGAACGATCGGTTTTCAACCTACTCTCCAAACGTCGAATCTCCTATAAATATTCAACGACAGCCAATTCTCGTGAAGAGGAGAGGACGTTTCAGTTTCAAACACGTCTGAGAACTGTTATTTCTTTTCGAAATCGTCTTGCAGCGATTGAATTGTCGAAGATTCTTTCGTCCTCGACGAATGTCCCTTCCGTTGGATATTGCAGAGATCTTCCTATTCTTCCCAATCCTGTTAATAAACAAAAATAATCGTTAAATAAAGTCAATTATGCGATTTCTTTGTTATAGATAATGAACGTACGAAAAAAAAAATTATTATTATCTAAAATATCCGAAAAGAAAACGAAGAAACTTTTGACGCGAAGTTTCGTTGCAATATTTTACCCATGATCCTTTGCGTCAAGTAAGTGGTACAAGCAAAGCAGAAAGTGAAACCGATGCAATAAAACATAAATATAATACTTGTGAAACTCTAACACGCTGTAACACTTTGATAAACTACTTTATCGTTATTATAATTTTTCGTACAGTACAGACATCCGAAATATCGTAATTATGCAAAAAAAAAAAATTATAATTTTTAAATTATCAGCTCACAGTGTACGAACAGGTTATTACGAAATTTGACAATCATATATTATCCCTTTTTATGATTATTGTTATATCACTTTATTATTGCCAACTAATAAACACATTTAGTTTATATTAATTTCAATTAGAACAATTTTTCAAAACGAAAAATGCTTATTACTGTAACACAATCTCACGCATCACATGGCGTCGCACTTGACGACGCACTACTAATACAATGGTCTGTATATGCGCATGTCCACACCCCATTCTGCTTCCGAACATATGTAGACCGAGGCACGTTTAGGAAAAGTTGATCGATATTGTCGTCGTCGACGTTTACGTTCTCTACCTATGGGCACTACTTTCTCGTGGAATTCAGAGATTTGTCAAGCGAATTGACAGCTCAAGATAAACGCGAAAAAATATATTTGCGAAACATACAAACAACCGATCCATGTGACACAACGTTCTCTTGTTGTTCGAATGAGAATAGCGCCAATTTAGAGAGACTACGAGACCCATTCTTTTCGATTACAAATTAATATTATTTAAAACACTCTCCTTTGTAAAATGTTATTTATTATACACTCGCGTATTTGTTTAAATGCTTCTACATGATTAACATGACAAAAATTTGATAAAATAATCGTATCAGTTTCAAAATGGAAGCCTATTCGTATTTGAAATTTATAACGGCCGTGTAAATGTCAAATATGTCGTGCTGCCCTCTAATGGTGGTTAATCACCGACGATGATACTTGGGAAGCAAAATTTGAAAAATTAAATAAGAGAAGAACGATATAAAATGCGAAAAAGAAAGCACGTTGAAAAAATGATGTAACCGAAAAAATTGCAAGTGTCAAACTCGTAACTATCGCATAATTCGCAATTACCCTTACCGATAGTTCTCGATATCACGGAGAGGAAATGTTTCATCTCACTTGGAATAGAAAGCTTGTCGCGGAGCGCAACCGAAAGCGCGAGGAAATATGTGCGCGCCAGACACGGCGCGTACAGCGAAGCGCGACGAACTTGACTCTCAAAGCAGTGGACCGTCCGACAAGTTAATAAAAACGGAACGTAGAGACCCCACTTTCTTATTATCGCACGACCAAGGTACACCCGCAATCGTGTCACACGTACACACTTCTATACTCACGATAAAAATTCACATAACAGCGAGAAAATGCTTAAACGATAACACACAAAAATTATATTACATTCACTGACCGGTTTGATTGGGATAAAACTTGTTTGTCCATTGAAGTTCGTTCCAGTTTCAAACTTCTTCTCGTTTGCTTCTTCACTAATTTCACTGATCAGACGAGGTGAAATGCATAGAGATCAAATTTTCTCTTTCGCTAATCATTCATCGTTTTCCACAAAATTTCGTTCTTCCCCCATTTGTTCAACATTATCTTCCACTCTCAAAGTTCACGCAGATTCCGAGCACAGTTTTCCGTAAAAAAACACAACGGGGCGCCACGAGATGTAGATACTTCTCTCTCACTCCTTCTTCTTCTTCTTTATTCTATTTCATAGCCTTGTCTCGCACGTGTTGAAAACGCGAAATCCTTTACAGAGGCACAAAAACACGTCATTCGAGAAAAATCGATGGTCAAATATCTTAAAAGAAAAAACATCGAGCCTCGTACCGTCTCGTCTTTTTCTCTGTAATATTTGCGCATAATGTTTTATAAAGGCGAAAGGCTCGTGAGCCTGTGTAGACGTATGCAAGTGTGAAATGTCCTCCGTGTATACGTCTTACGCCTCACCCCTTTTCTCTAATACCGTTCTCTTGCTACGCAACATATATATATATATACACATATATATATTATACATATATACATATATATGTACACGCATATATATATATATACATATATATATATACATATATATATCTCCCTTTCTTTCTTATCTATCCGTTTCCGTTCTTTCTCCTCTGTCTTTCGCGATCTCACTGTTTCCCTTTCCTTCGTTCTCTATCAGTTTAGCCGTGTGCACGGCCCTATACGTGTTATACGTAGTATACCGTGCGCAGCTACGTAGACCATCCGTGTATACGAATCGAGTAGCAGGCGCGCGCGCCTGTGTTTGCGTTCGTGTGTGCACTTGATTAGCCGTGTGACGTCAGGGCACGATTACATCGCTCGCGATTGTCACTCAAATCGACGAGTAAAACCGCACAAGAATCCAGGCGGGAAAGGTGGTCGAAGACACGCGGACGAACCTCGGACCGCGAAACGACGGACGATCCGTCGCGCAACGGCTAAAGGCGGCGGAAAGCCTTCGCGCAAACCACCCGCGGTATTCGTGAAACGACTGACTCCATGCAACGATTGGAGTCGTACAGAAGACGGGAAGTGTTCCGCTAGATGGCAGCACTATTTATCGCAAGGGGGCTCCGGCGGCCGTATTGCGCTCCGTGTACCGCAACTCATCGAGTACTGTCGAATTCTAACGATCACTGCCGATCCATCCCGAATTCTTACGACCACGCACGAACGATTCAATATCAAGTGCACGACCCTCTCCGTTCCGTCGAGCACATGGAACAGTACGGATGATGAGTGCCTATCAACTTTATTTGTACACTTATTCCTTTATCGCTTGATAAAATGATGTTAGCATTCCCTATTTCCGGAAGAAACTCGCCGTTAAAAATTTTTATATTTACCTATAGAAATTAAAAGATCGTCTTTAAATTAAACATTGGTAGGTAATATATATTGGTAGATAATGTATATACATATATGGATCAAAAATAAATGACGAAATCTATCTCTACTTTTTAATGATTACACAAAATGGAATGTACAATTTACTTAACAAAAATTGCATTTTATAATGTTAAACATGTTTGATGTTAAAATAGTAATAATATAAGTATAAGTATTATATAGTATAGTTTATTAACATTAAAATATATTTATACACTTTGTATACAACAATAACTTAATTATTAACAAATGAGAAAAGAGTTATAAAAAATAACATAACACTAATCTTTGAATTTCTTTTAAGATCAAAATAAATAATAGTATATTCATTTTACTAGGTACACTAACTAATACCTGAATTGCTTTTTAATACAGAAACATTAAGGACCCTAGGAAATTTAAATTATTTCTATTAACCACTTACTTTCTCCTCTTTATTTATGTATGTTGATAAAAATGGTAAAATTTCAGGGCATTTTTCTGTTACTAATTGTTCAATATTTTGCGTGTCAGTGTTCAATAATGATAAATCACTACATGGTATCAATAGCTTACAAACAGAAGTCGAACGTGCCTTAATTGCTTTATGCAAAGCAGTGTATCCATCAGCATCTTTTAAATTAGGATTTGCGCCGAATTTTAATAAAAGTTCAACAATGTCAGAGTGACTTTGCATAGCTGCTCTATGCAAAGCAGTAGCATGTCCACAACGTGTTTGCGCATTTACTGCTGCATCATTTTCTAATAAAATAATACACATTTTGTAGTGTCCATTTCGCGCTGCATAGTGTAACGCTGTATACCCGGCTGAATCTTCTGCACTGGGTGGAACACCTTTCTTTAACAATGTCTTCACACGATCCAAATCATTATATTGCGCTGAAAGATACGTATATATTATTAATAATAAACTTAAACACAAAATAATAGACTCAAAATTAATTAAATTTTATTATTTACCAGCATACCATATCCCACGTTCAAATTCCATTTCCGTAAATGTCTGACGCATGCCAACATTACTATTTACACTGCAGCATGTATCATGATCAGTATGGCTATGATTATGCTCCATGTTTACTGTAGATGCAATTAATGCCTGGATAAGTGATCTATCACTCCATTACAAAAAAAAAAAATTGCCTTTAAAATTCTTACCATATAGATTTAAACTATCCATCATTATACATAAACATAATTACTAATTCGTAAATTATCGATGACTATGAAAAGATATAATATAAAAGAAACATTTTTAATTCACAGTAGTCATATATTTTTTAATAAATTTTCGTTCATAATATGCAAAAAATGTATTTCTTTTACACAGTTTGCGTGTGTATAACTTTATAACATATATGAATATCGAATTCGTATATGAAAATAAGGCCGGTATATAAAATCGACCTTTCTATAATATTGTATAATATTATGTTTCAATTATTTTGTAATAAATGGAATATTTCAATAATTATTACGCAAGTTCTTTGTGTCTTAAAGTGTGATGCTGCGCCAACAAATATTGCCTTATCATTTCATAAAAGAATTCAATAAATATTAAATACAATACAAATTCTTTTACGACATTACATAATATTAACGCTAGTTTTGATTCCGTGCATTGCATATTAGCGTTATAAAGAAATTAAAAAATAACATAATAATACAATTTAACTAAAAACTAAATTGAATAGAAAATGCGGAAATTGCCTTAATAAAAGACATAAAACTATTACCCACAAAATGACCCATAATAATGATTCTGTAGAAAATAAAAATAATAAATAGAAGTGTTATTATTATTAATATTATTATTATGTTTATAATCTCTCATAACTTTATACGAATATCTAATTATCTAATCTTTGTTTTTTATTCCTTTTTATAGTAAGGAATAAAATAATAGCTGCAAAAAATAATGATTTCATTGAAAAAGTGTAAAAACTAGAAACTTGTACTCGTATAATCTTATTCGTGTCTAATTATTAATTTATATAAAAATAAACTGAAGACATTTTCTTTAATTCATTTTGGATTTACAAAAACCAAATATGTTTATGTATAAAACGATGTACGATTGTAGTTTTAACCTATAAAATACTATCCAAATACTTTACGAATTTAATATAAGAAATTTGCTAAAATTTTTCATGAAAATCTATCGGTATAAATACGTTCCATAAAAAGTATACATTTCTAAAGCAAGTTACGAAATATTGATAAAAATTTGGTAACGAAAGTAAACACACCATTTCATATACCTGTGTGTTTCTTGTATACAGTTTTCGTATATAATTAAATAATATAATACTTTATTCATACTGGTTGTTTAATTTACGTGCACAGTAATAAGCGCACACGCATATTTTATGTATATAAGTACTACTATCTTCTTTTTCTCTTTTTTTTTTTTTTTTTTTTTCATTTTTTAGTAATACTTATAAATTGTAGTCCTGAGAATAATTGTTGATTTTATAATTCCCTCTGCATCGTCCAAAGTATTTCGGTCTCTCCTGTGCTACAGACAACTCGATATCCTAATTCTGCCAGGGCATTAATAATGGAAAAAGGTGGTCCTGTAATAAATTTTATTGCACAAATTAAAAGAAATATTGCACAATTTGCGGATGTACGGTACAATAAAACAGGCTAACGTCAAACTTTCATAAACCATCGAAATTCGACACCTTATCTTCAGAATAATGTATCAGTCTTATTCTAAAATTTAACACATATTTACGAAATATTATATTTTACTACCAAAAGCTTAAACAATCCCAACAAATAAGTCTACAGCATCATAAGTGTATCTTTAACAACATGTTATCGTTACTCTTATTATTAATTTTCTAAAATAAAGTTTATTATAAAAAATGTTGCATCAAAGGATATTAATCAACATATTTCATATTTAATCAAGACATTAATCATATATAAGTTTTACGTACCGAGTATTTTCAAATTATATGAAAAAGGCAAAATAAAGAATAATTTTGTCAGAAAAGATTGAATTAATTAAACGTATAAAAGCACAACTATTCTATGGAAAAAGTATAAGTAAGCAATCGTAACCTTTAATCATAACGCCGTTGAGCACATTTGTCCCAGAGTTTGGAAAACGCTTGGAAAGTGCCGAAACTTCGTCCGGATTTAAACCAAATACAGCACAATCAATCGCAAAAGGGGAAGCTTTTACGCCAATGTAATAGTAATTCTCATCATTTATTACATTGGCTAATTTTCCGATCATTGCATTCTCTGATTGCGACATTGTTGAGCTAAAAATGGTTGTTAGACTTCGTTGTCTTTTACTGTCAAGTTTTTTACTGTCAAAAGAAAAATTTTATGTCTAAAATGGTGTTGAAAAAATTATAAACATATTTTTCTTATTTTCTCTTATAAAAAGAAAATCTTACTATTTAATCATTAAGTTCTATATTATATAAAAAAAAATCTTTATGATAAAATAGTAATAGTATGTGTAATTATATCGAATTTAGGTATTGAAAATTTATTCGATAATTTTTTTAACATTTTTACACGTGTAAATTTCCTTTTTTCCCCGCTTATTCATATTCATAGGCATAGCATTAATTGTTATATTTTTATAAAATTATAGTTATAATATTTAAGTAAATAAAAAAAATAGAAGCGATAATATAAATGCATAATTAAATTATTTCGATATGATAGAGGAAAAACAAGTTATTATATATATGTATACGTATACATATATAATTCGTATTAATAGAATTAATGAAAATACCTAATAGGTATTAAAAATATACCCAATTATAATATGTAAAATTTATACTACTTAAAAACCCTTTATTGTAATCAAATTTCTTTTTTTTTTAATGTTCTGCTTAAAAATATTATACAAAAAATATACTTCTCTATTGATATAAAAAGTAAATCATACTTTGTTCTACATGGATAATACACTATTTTCATTCTCTTTATCATGTCCCTCTCTATATCTTGTATCTTTAATTAAAAATAATTTTGGGTATAAAAATGTTTTATATATTATGCAAGCATACAATAGTATTTTTCATTATCAATAGATAAAAATCATTATTTACAATTAAACTACATGTGAAACTGTCTTTATTCTAGTTTGTTCAGTCAATTGTCTTTCTCGGTCTTCTTTAAGTTGCATCATACGTGTTTCATGAGCCCAACGAACTTCAGTTTGAAGTTTATCTCTTTCATACTCCCATTGAAACCTTTCCAATTCCAAAGCTTTACGTTGTACTTCTAATTCTGCAGCTCTTCTTAAGGCACGTCTTTCTAATAATTGTTCTTGATATATTTTGCTTTGTAAAGGTGAACAATCAGATGTCTGTACAGTAGAAACTGGCCATTGTGATATTCTTCTAGGATTATATGATTTTCTTTGATGAACTGAACTTGACCGTTCTTGAGATCCAGCTACACAAAATTTTTAAAAGCACCTTAAAAATTCATTTCATATAACTACCTGAGAACTAGATTTACAGATTTATCCAGTTTAACATTAACTTAAAAGTAAGATCATAATTTAGATGTTTCATAAATGTTTTCGTTTGTTTCAAATTACCAGGTACAACAGTTCCTGTATCACTCTGACTTGTTTCCCAATTTCTACTGACTAAGCTTGTATCTGTATTATTATTTTCAGCTGCATTATCCTGGTTTACCCAATTCTGCTCGTTATTTTGCATTACTAATTCCATATTTTGTTGCATTGCATTAGATGTTTCAACTAAGTATGACTGATTTTTATAATTCCAATCATCTAAATCTTCTAAATCTGTGTCTGTAATATTCTGATCAACTGAAGATTCTTGTTTTGGCCACCCATCATTCACTTTATTGTCAAGATTATTACTTTTATGTTTCTTATTATGCGCCACTTGTATGAATTGTTGTCTGACATCTTCTGGACACTTTGGACATCTCTCCATGTGTCGTTCCATACGAGTAGCATTTTGGATGTATGACTGATTACAAAATTTACAAAATGCAATCACTTGAGATCCTAGCATCTTTTTATTATAATAGTTCCACACAATGCCTCGTTTCTTTACCATGGTTTCTTTTTTATAGTTTCACAGTATATACTTTTTCTTTAATTGTGTATTTTTTCTTTACTTTATATTTATAAGATTTTTGGTTTTCAAAATAGCTAATATTCATTTAATATAATAAAAATATAAACCTTATTTATGTATTATTATACTATCTTTTTTATACGGAATCAAAACTAAGATATGTAATGTCCACATAAAGTAAAAAGTACAAAAGTTAAAAACTAAAAAGTTGTATCACAATGTAATGAAACACCATACTTAGAAATACACTATTAACACAGCATCAAGAATTTAATTAAAATTTTGGTAATTTTATGAAACACCAGTATATATACTACTTATTTAGAAAGTTAACAAATATACACATTATTCTTTTTCATATCCACTTATAAAAAATAAACGTTCGAATATACTAATTAATTAAATAATTAATGTATCTTTTAAAGAACATCAAAGCAATCAAATAATTTTTCGAAGTCATTTTTTATCATTTAAAATTTAATAAGTTTACTGAAACAAGTTGTGTGAAATAGAACTTTCACGCACACATAATAAAAATCAATAGAAATTCCTAATACCGATGGAAGCTATTGATATTGGCTTATGCAATGGCGAAAGTTTTGAACAAATGTGTTAAATGACGAGTATATGCCACTGCTAGATAAAATGATCGTTATTTAATACAATGCATCTGAAGCCATATTTGGCATCAAATTAAAACATCAACCACTAAACACATAACCTACGTAAAAGTATGCTTGTGTTTGTTGCCATTCTTATAAGAATAACGTAGTAGATAACGAGTACCTTAAATGCTTCTATAATGCGTTGTAATTTGTAAAACGTAATCAAATTTCATATATTTTAACAAAGAAACAATAATTCCATAATAAAATTGCACAGAAAATCTTTACACAACACTGAAATGTTTTGCTAGCACTGAATTCTAAAAGAAACCTACGAAAACGTACAAACAAATCGGTAACCAGTACAATATGTACAAATGTTTTAATATATTAAATTCGAATATATTACATTACCTGTTTCTTTTAATAAAATCAAAGATATATTGTATTTAAAAAAGATTCTATTACTACATTTCATCCACAAAAAATTAGAAAATATTTATTTCAACATGTCATATATCTACATGTGTATGTGTATACATATATACATACATATATATATATATATTTAATAACTTATATTCCTCTTGTATCCAAATCAATTTATAAGTTATGCAGAAAACAAAACTTATAGCAAAATTTATAAATGTTATAAATTTATAACTTTTATTTAAAAAAATGAATATGTTTTTCAAGTTTAAAATAATAAAAAGTATTAAATTTTTTTATTGAAAATATAAATGCTTTTCATCACATAATTATTAATAAAAATAATAGGGATTGCTACATCATACCTCTATTAAGAACAGGTTCAGGTTCAGGTTCAGAAAAATCTTTTCTCATAGTCCACATATACTCATTATAATCTTGTTTAACACTTGTACTTGAAGATGCGACGACTTTGTAACCAAGAACTTCTAAAGCAGTTAATATTACACAAGGATGTTGCAAATATACTATTGTCGAATCATCACAATATCCCCCACAAGCAAAACGACTCAGTTGTTCTATATCTGATGCTATAACACAAGCGAATAAGATTACATATTTTCAATGTTATTTCATTATTTATTATTATTTCAAGATCACTTCACACCGATATTCAAACAAATTCAATTTAAAAAATATAAATTATAAAATTCATATTCGTATATTTAAACGGATCCCAGACGAAAAATATAACCGACTTTACTTACAATCTACGCGATAATTTTTATCACTTTATCGCGAAGTAATGTTAGTAGATATATCGTTCGACTCAAAACTGTGAAATATTGATTATACGTGTAAATAATATAACTGAGACAAAATAATGTACATAACGAATTTGTTTACTTTAAAATTGTTCAAATTAAAATATAAAACTCATAATTGAAATCAATTTTTATATTTATAAATTATGTGACAAATTTAATATTAATTTTATATCTTGTTAAATCACTTCTCATACTGAAAATTGTTTCTCATTCAAAGGGCATTTAAAAAGTATATTAAAATAAACAATAATTAGTTAATTAAAAAATAATTTATTAAAATGTATATTTAGAATAAAATATTATCTTAATATTTAAATCTATCTTTTATGATATTTTATACGTGAATATAGTTTTCTAAACTATTTTCTTAAACTGTTTATTTCTGATACACTATATTTTTATATTATCATAATATGAATAATGTTAACCATATAACAAAACATTATTGCTACAAACCTACATATTAAGGAAAGCACATTTATTCTCCTACTTCCATAAAAATATGTTACACAGCATATAAAAAAGTTTGTACTAAACAAAAATGAAATATTTGATAAACAGTTATACCTAAAGTAGAATGAGTAGTAGAGAACTTAAGTTGATTTTTATAAGACACTGATACTGTGTAAATATTTTTAGTAACTTATTTCATATTTAAGACTAAAACTTATATTTCACTTTTCTAAAGATATGTGTATTATAACAAGCAAATATATATATATATATATAATAGCATATTATAACAAGCAAGAACTTAATGTGCATTTAAGACATATCGATTAATAACATAAAATATAATTCTTAAGTTGCTGTTACATAAAGAAATTAAATATAAACATATTAACTGCTTAAACCTTATTAAACTTTCGAACAAAAAACTATACCTTTAAGACCTGAAACTAAAACTCTCCATGGATATCTATGACCATATGATGCAAGATTGCCACGTACCAAAATGTATGGCATCTGTGATATTATGCTAAAACAAATTTTATTTAATAAATACCTAAATCATGTATAAAGTATATATGTATGTAAATTATATGTATACATAAAGACTATAACTTTATGTAATAATGACTACAACAATGCATTATTGTTTATAATGCATTTTTAATTTAAATACAAGTACCTACAAATATATACAGCGATACTTGTTTCCATGAATTTGATTATTAAGTTATTAATTTAATGTAACATAAAGTATTAACCTAAAATGTAAATGTATCATATTCAAATAAAAGAAGAAAACAAATTATTTTGGAATAATTTATATATTCTTTTAAAATATTTATAATCTAGGCATAAATATTAACCTGTTTAAAATTATATTTTAGAATACATTGAAATTATATGTAGGTTATGTAAAGGAAAACACACTCACACAAAACTTATATATTCACACACACACGCATATATAAACTAAAAAAATTTAATAGGCACATAACGTTTATTTAAATCTTGCACAAAATTTTTATTACTATTTACCAAAGTCTTAATCGTAAATAATGGACGAAACATTTATTCTATATTATGTATATGACTTCATAATATATTTAACAAATATAAAACAAATTTCAGTATTATGTAAATTTCTAATAAATATCATTATTGACAAGTACCTATCATGGAATTTTATGTACTATTTGAATAATTATCTGTCGATCTTTTGTTTGAGTAGAATCAATGTTATTAACTCTTATTAAATTATATACGCTCACCTGTTAACATTTACGGAACTCAATTCGTTGATATTATTATTAACCGAAGATGTTCCTATATTTTACTAATAATTATTAAAACTAATGAAGCGAGTAACTTAAACTGGTATGTTGAATACTATTAAAACTTTTTAGCTTACACAGAGAACTTTGCACAGAATTCTTCCAAACATAAACTTCAACCATTAAAGAATAGGAACATAACATAATATTCGCAAGTTCTGAAAGTGCGCATATTCTAACTACTATTAACATTTACAAATCCCAATACTGTTCAAACGACAAACATTTGGGTGGTTTTTCAATGAAATTCATATTCTTCATATGAACTATTTAAGTGTATCAAAACTTTGTAATGATTGGATACTATCCAGACGCTAAAGGGAATTTTCCAATAATGTTTTTTATTATCTAACTTTGGTTTCTATCCTCTTCTCGTTAAAAAAATTTTGTACATTTAATATTTTTATATATTTATTAATTCACTAATAAATTCAATTAATTTATGAAATATAAAGAATAGATATAGAACATATATAGTAACTACATCATTCACATGAAAATAGCATTTTAACTTTTAAATTTATGTACTTTATAAACTTGTATACTAAGTATTTATATATATGTAAAATTAATGTAAAACATAGTTAAATATTTTTTTAGTTCAATAATTTTTAAACAAAAATATTTTTATTACTTTTAGATTTTCTAATTATTATTTCATGATTATTTTGTATTTTTTTACATTATTGCATTAATAACATATTAATATAAAATGATAATAACAAATTTGTAATAATTAAATTACATTTATTTAAATTTATTCAAATAAAATTAATTTTTCATAAACATTTTACATTAAATTAAAATTATAATTTTAATGATTAAAATGTAGAATATTATTGTACTTTATTATTAAATTTATAGAGGTTCTATTTATTTTACAAACTTAAGTAATATTGGAAAAAAACCAATCAATACTTTTGTTTCATTGAAACTGAGATACGGTTGGCTTATATAGTTTTAATGAATCAGTAAATAAGAGTATCAATTGGTAATAGGTGTTACATTTTTACATTTGGTATATAGGAATATGTCAACATTAGATCTTAAAACATTGTTTCATAAAATAAGGAATGTGTTGATTACAAATGTTATATAATTTTGAAATACATCATAATTTGTACATACACGTATACATATGTGTAGAATTATTACCATTGTAGTCAAATGATATCTATCTTTGTTCATCTTTCTATGGTTTAACAAAATTATATATTTCAAAACATTACACTTACAGTTGAAGATATTACATTTATTCATTGTAAGAGTTAAATTATACCATTAAAATTAAGTTTGTAGCCCATGGATGTAGATTAATAAGTAGAACAGTTAAAAAATAGTGACAGGTGGTTTGACATTTATACGCCGCCATCGTTAATAGCGACAGTGATCTGCCATATTGCGCGTGATATAAAGAATTGTAATACATTTACGGTATTATAGTTGTTACTTGTGCATCCAGTACAAGAATTTATTGTTTATGTAGTAGTAATATTTTAACACAATTCTTATAATTCAGTTTGTGGGAAACATTCTACGGTAGTGAATTCCAAAACGGTGAGTGGACAATGCATTGTTGACATCAGAAACTTTTTTTAATGAACAGTTGTCATCAGGAAATTGAATTCTGATTACTTATATTTACAAATTTCAGAACTGATACCACTGTACCTTTTTATTTAGGAATTTATAACTTATTCAACATTTTCAAGCAATAGTAAGTTAGTTGTCATTTATATGATTATTACTTTAACATTAATGTTTTGTTGAAAAACACTTGAATAACCATATAAATATAATTTTTATGTCTATATTAGTTTTTATCTTTACATAAATTTTCACAAAGTAGCATTTGACTAAAATAATTGCATTTAATACGCTATCACTTAACATATGTACTTTTCAATCAATTTATTTGTCATATTCACAATATTTATTAAATTTATTAATGGTTCATAATTATCATCTTAATATATTATCATAATTTTGTTAACAGTTGACTCTGTTTAAAATTTGTTATAATGTTCATTAAATATATTAATAGTATAAGTATACCAATTATGTAGTATCATATAATATAATTATATTTGTCATTTATATATATATATTAATAATGTTTTTAATAATTTTTTGTCTTTTTTTCCTTGTGTTTGATATTGTCATATACTTATACTATTGTAGGTGCTCAATGAATTTTTACTATAAATGTCATTTGTTATACTTTAATATATCTGATTTTATTACCATATCAGTTTGATTTATGATTCTGTTGAAGAATTGAATAGAATGTAATTTTCTTTTATGATCTATGATTTATATGTAAAATATAATAAAATATATAATATATATATACGTGAAATATAATAAAATATATGTCATAAAGTGATAAAACATTGACAAATTTTTAAATTATGCATTTACAGATACAAAATGTCAACCGGACCATATAATTACTCTTATATCTTCAAATACATTATTATAGGAGATATGGGAGTAGGAAAGTCATGTTTACTGCATCAGTTTACAGAAAAAAAATGTAAGTTAAAAAAATAAGTAAAATAAAGATAAAACTATTAAAACTTAAAAATGCATTACATATTCTTTATTATTTTATATATTCAAATTGAAGTTTATTAATATATCAAATTTTGTAATATTTTTAAATATATTTTGATTTCAATATGGTCATGAATAAATGATATAAGTATAAGAGAAATAATTTAGATAGTTATGTACATATACTTGTTATTAATTTTACTAATAAATGAATTATATAATATTTGAATACAATTTTTTAGAAAATAAGAAGTGTTTTATTATTGTTATTGTATCATAATGTCTGAAATAACATATTTTTGTTTATTATAGTTATGGCAGATTGTCCACATACTATTGGTGTTGAATTTGGGACAAGAATTATTGAAGTTGCTGGACAAAAAATAAAATTACAGATATGGGACACTGCTGGTCAGGAACGTTTTAGAGCAGTTACTAGGTATGTGTGACCTTATAATTTTTGATATTTTTAATATTTTTAATAATAATACAATATAACACATATATATGTTATAGATCTTATTATCGGGGTGCAGCTGGAGCATTAATGGTCTATGACATAACTCGTCGTTCAACTTATAATCATCTTAGCAGCTGGCTTACAGATACAAGGAATTTAACAAATCCAAGCACTGTATGCAAAATATGATATTTTACATAATGGTATTTACGTCTGTAAAGTGTAACTACATTGATGCAGAACTGTTTAATGATGTATTTCTCACACTTAATAAATAACAGGTTTATATTATATATGTAACAGAATATTTTATATATTGTATTTACAGGTTATATTTTTAATCGGAAATAAAAGTGATTTGGAAGGTCAACGAGATGTTACTTATGAAGAAGCAAAACAATTTGCTGATGAAAATGGTCTTATGTTCGTAGAAGCTAGTGCGAAAACGTAAGTCAATTATCAAGTAATCTGATTGAGTATAAGAATACTATATTTGCATATATAATCAGATTATACAATTAGAAAATAATTATATTCATAATCCTTTTTATCAGAGGACACAATGTTGAAGAAGCCTTTTTGGAAACAGCAAAAAAAATATTTCAGAGTATACAAGATGGCCGGTCAGTAGAAATCCATTTTTCTTGCCTAACACATATATTTAAATAATTTAATTAGTACTAGTTTGTATTTTATCAACGATTTTAGTATAATAATTTATTTACCGACAGTTTGGATCTAAATGCTGCCGAATCTGGAGTTCAACATAATCCAAGTCAACCAGGTCGTACTAATCTTCAAGGTGTATCTAATGAACAACAGGGTGGAAAGGATTCCTGCTCCTGTTAGGTCTATATTTGTTTGTATATAGAAATATGAATTCATCGGTACTATTGATGCATATATGATTTATACTAAGTATAGCAAGCAAATAGTCTCCTGTCTTTATCCCTTTACCTTTGATATGTCAGATCTATTCTATGAAAGATGTCAGTTTTTTCTAGTTAGACTTAATTTAAAGGAATAAAATATAAATACATGATTTAGTCTGCATATGCATATAAATTGTACTGATAACAATGATTCTGTATTAGCATTGAAATTGATATTTCAGCGTTAAAGCTTTTCTATGGTTATTGTAATTCGTATATATTTTCCATAGGTCGTATATTTTATTGCGTAAAATAATTAAATATTAGACAATATGTTGTACTCACTAATCTTATAGTACATGTATACAACGTACATTGTACGAAAAACATTTACTTAATCACAAGAAAATATGATAACTATGAATGTGACACAGCCAAATAAGATAAATATTTACCACTGTAAATTGAATTTGTGTAACAAGATTGACCACGTTTAATCGCGTTGTTTAATTTGCAGTTTGAAAGCTATTGTACTATAAGCTTAAGTGCAAAAGATTGTTGGTAACACATTGAATTTCTCAACAGCAAAAAGAGTTGTCATAAAATGGCATAATGAAATAGAATTAATGTCAACTCTAATTTTCCATAACTACAATCCCGTTTTCATATCATATAAAGCATATAAACTGCTAATGTAAAGCTAAATATAATTTTTAATTTCCAGCTTGAAAAATATTTTAATTTCCAAGTGTTTTGGAATGTTCCACATTTCCAATTTGAAAAATGGAAAAAGAAAAAATATTTAATATAAGTATCGTCATTATTGCTATTATTTTACAAAATTTAAAGAATCAATCCTTTTAGTAAAACATATTTTTCAATATAATATAATTATATTAACCAATATAGTTTTCACACTGCTGAAAATGAAATATTGTATCAATTTGTAAAGTTGATATGAATCTTAAATCTTTATTCATACTTCGTGTAACATTAATTTTTAAAAACGGTTAGAAGAAATGTTACTTATAAAATTTATCATTTTTTACACTTTTAATTAATAGCTGTATTGTAATTAGTAGTAGTTTCAATATTTTTTCAAAATCACAGTTTTACATACCATTCCCAAGTAAAACGAAGATGAACAAAAAATTAATTTTAAAAAAATCAAATATATTGTCTTTAATTTAATGAAATAAGATAGATCGTTACATAAATCGAAAATTAGGTCAATAAAAAAGTTTTTAATCATTCATATTTTATTTAAGGTATTGTAAAAGTACTTTGCAATTATATTAACAAAAAGAACAAAACGTCATTTAAAATACATTTGACCAAAGCTTTCCAGAGCCATCTAAAAATAATTATTGTTCAATTATAGACGCGTAAAATGTAATTAGTTATAAATCGGTAAGAAACCGTTTGATGTACAGGATAAAAACAAAATCCTTTTTTAATTTTGGTGTATATTATTGTTTAAATCTAATTTAAACTTTAGTTACTCATCAACATATTTTTCATATCTTGTATATATAAATAATTAATGATAAAAATAAATATTTATATTACAGCTGCATTAAAATTATTGATTTCGCATCGTTAAAATAAAAATTATATTTGAAGGCATTATTTTTTGTAGTTTTATAACGAAAAAGCGGAGTTAAAAGATTACAAGTCATGTAAAAAATTGATAGCAAGTTTACTTAATTATCTCTTAAATTTAGCATTTCATGTAATCACGTGTTTGTTTGATATAACGTATTATTACTACGAAGATACAAACAATATCATTTCGTATTATCGTTTCAGCAGTACTTTAGAATGATTTTATTATATTTGGCTTTTAAATATGAAAGATTTCATCCATTTTATATTTATTTATCAAATTAATTTTTTATGTAAATTTTCAGAATACCAAATTTCTTCTATTTCATTCTTTCCTTTCTTTTCTATGCTTTTATTTGAATATAAATTGTATGAATTTTATATTGGTAAATAGAATGCTTTCTAGTCCAAAAATGTAAATAATTAATAATGTAAATTAGCAAGCAAAATTTGTAATAACTTGAATAGTTTACTTCATAATTTTGTATGTGCTATAAAAGTATATTTTAACTTTACCGCGCGAATTTGTTATATAAATACATTTTGAAGACGTAGAATATAATACATCGACTTAAAGGCATAAATACGTCATTAAAGGTATAAGAATAATATTAAATGCTGTGTAAAATTAAATATTTATTACCTACTAAAATTTCAAGTTAAAGATTGTTATACAATGATTAATAGTCAATATATTTATGGCATTTTTATACTTGGAACATTTTGTTCTGAATTCTGTTTAACCAAGGAGTAAGTTATATTTTTGTGTTTTTTAAATTAATATTACTTTTATACTTTATTTTATATTGCGTAAAAAATGATCGTTTGTACAAATTAAAGAATATTCATAATATACTATTTTTAGACTTTTTATTTTTAAAAAATGCTTTCTATTTCTTTATGTATTCTATTTTCTTTCTATTTATTTATTTTGTTAGAATATATAATAATTCATATATTGATAGTCTATTTTTTAAAATAACGATTATGTTATATATTATATGGATATGTGTTTATAAAAATCAGTTTGATGTTTATAACAATTTATAAATGGTAATAAACTTAATAATTTAATTTTATAATTTATGATTCATATATTATGCAATTATTATCCTTTGATTAGATTTATTAGTTTAATTTGAATAGTAAAATATGAAATTGTTATTTTATAAATTAATTTATTGTTCACTAAAATATTATTTATTTATTACATCGAATATTTCATATATTTATAATTATTATTATCATAATAGATAATATATAGACATTCTATATATGTCTTGTTTGAATGTTCTTTATGTAATATCGTTTGTGTAACAAATATAACGTCTTACATATTTGTGAATATAAGGTCATGAATAATATTAATAGTAATCATTAATAACAGTTAAAAATGATGTTAACGATACAATTTTTTATTGCATTTCTTATTCGCGTTTATTATAACCTATTCCCTCCATCGAATTGTATGAAAAATTTACAAAGAATAACAAATTTGTAAGTTTCACTAACACAATTTGTTTAGTGTCTTTTTAATACATTGTAAAAGGTTTTTACAAAAAATATATGTATATGTAATATGTTTTTCTATAAATAAAAGAATGCGTTTGCAGTAACTATATAATAAATGTGTTATTTCTAAATAAAATTAATTTTTGATTTTTGTAATTAACCAGGCTCAAAGAGATACTTTTTGATTTTACAACTGTAGACAATGTGGATAATTGGAAAGAAATATCTGATACTGTTAGGACAGTAGGAAAATCAAAAGCTGTTTTAGCATTGCAAAGAACACAAGTTTTTCAAAGAGCAATATTTTTTACTCTTTTGAACCCACAATCAAATGGTGCAGGGTTTGCAGGGATACGAACAATGACTAATTTAAATTTATCTAATTTTAAAAACATTGAAATCAATTGTCGAGGACAAGGCCACAATAAGCACTATAAAGTTGTTCTTAGGCACAAAGGTCTTCATTCAAACGAAGATATAACATATGAACAGTTCTTTATGGTAAACTTCAGCTATATTATCTTAAACTATTTGTGAAGGAGGTGAAATTAAATTGCATAATCTCTATTTTTTCTATTTTTTTTTAACAACTATATATATATATATATATTAACTATTAGTTTAATATAAAAATTATATTAAATTACATTAGGCACCAATGTCAGATATTAATTTTTCAACTGTGGTCTTACCATTGGCAAATTTTAAACCATATTATCGTGGACGTGAAGTACCCGATGCAGAACCATTAGATACTGCAAATATTACAATGTTTGGTTTACAAGTGTATGGTGGAGTTTATTTAACAATTAAACAAAACGGTGTATCAGCATTAGAAGTAGAAAATATTTCAGTATCATAATTATTATATTAATGTAAATAATTAAAAGTAATTGTACATTATAAATATGTAAATAATCAAATTATTAATTATTTAAGTTACTTTTAATCTGTACTTTATATAATATCTTGTATAAGGGATAATAAAACATACACAAATGTACCATATTTGTAGAATCATTTAATTGTTATAGAAGTATATATTCTCACTAAACCTTGTTAGTTCTTTTATATCAATACTGATTCATAAATATGAATCAACAAGCATTTCTTAAATGAATAACAAATGTGCTTAAATTTTGTTTTAAAATTGTGTTTTGAACAAAAACATTGTAACATACATCTTTATCAAATTTTAGAAATGCTTTTCTAACGTATATCAAATTTACCAATCATTTAAATAACTTTCTTCAAGGGTGCTGTATGATTTAAGATCATGATTAAATCTGTAACAAATATATATATAAACGTATATATGTATTTATATAAATACAAATACCTATAGTACATATACTTGTATGTCATGATATATCACGAAAAAAGTCATTTACTTACGTTTTAAATGCATCAACTATTTCTGGTACTTTTGATGGATGACAAACAATAGTTGTTCTACACTGTTTTGGATCAAATAGTGGTTTTAGATATTGAGATGCTATACGACTCATATCCTCAATTGTTACTTCAGATACACGTTGTACCATTTGTTGAGTGTAATCATGTGGCACATTTTGGAAATAAGACAAGAATGAACGTTGTACCAAGTTTCCTACACTTTGTTCTTGTTCAATAATTTCAAATATTATACAAGATTTTGCAGATTCAAAAAGTAATTTTTCCCATTTATTTTCAAAAATATGAATTTCCTATAATAATTTAAATACTAAATAATGTTACTTTTATTTTGCGAATATCATATATTTAATTGATTGTATTCTAAATGTATATACTTACTACAATTGATTTTGCTTCCTTATATGCTGCTACAATGTTTGTTGATCGATAGAATGATAAATATAACAGGCCTTCGTGTGGTTTGAAATGTATATTGTACCCATAAGATAAACCCTGACCTCTAATGAGTTTCCACATAGGACCCTTTAAAAATATCAGTGTTTAAATAAATATAATATGATATCAGTTTTTTACAATTATTATGAAGGTACTAATTTTGTTTTTTATTTACCTCTAATTGAGTTAAATATCTTAAACAAACAAATAAAGGAGCCATATCTGGACTCTGGTAATCATTTATACATGGACAAGTTTGGCATAAATAGGAAGATTCTATGCAACCTAACCCTGTAACGCAGCCTTTAAATGGAACCTCATCCAGATTCCATTTAATCAATGCTGAATCAGGAATGGCTTCAAGTCTATATGATTATATGTTTATAATTTATATATGTACATGCAGTTTGTAATTTAAATTATAAAAATGGACTAACTTAGTTTTGCTTGATGTATCAAATGTAGAAAAGTAATTATTCCATGGATCATAAACATTTGGTACTTGAGCAGTTAATTTATCTACATTAGTGGCCACGTACATTACCATATTTTTTGGATTTGTTAATACTTCTCTAACAGATTCAATTTCTGATATAACTTCTTTTTGTCCTGTTTCATCATTCAAACGTTTTAGGACGTTATTAAGAAATTTTTGTTGTCGTAACATACTAGATGTAAATGGATTGCTGTCTAAAAGTACAAAATATCATAATATAATTATCATATTAATGTTACATAATTCTTTTGTAACATTTCTTTTTTACCTTTAATATATATCAATCCTTTCATTAAATCATTTACAACTTTATTTCCTTGTCTTTTAACTTGACCAACATCATTTACCATTTTTGCAGCTGTTATTTTTAATCTATCTGGAGTTATTTTAATATCGTATAAAAGTTCTTTAATCCATTGTACACCTTTCTCATATTTTTCTATTTCAAGCTAAAAAGACAGTTATTTAAGATTATTAAACAATTATAAAATAAAATTTAATATGAAGAATTATTACATGAAGCTCTAAAAGAGCACTGTAACTGTATGCTCCACATGAAAACCTTGAAAAACTATCGACCCCTAGACTAGTATCATTTGTTATAGTATCTGCTTCCAATTCAGTTACAATTTCTTCATATGGAATGAGTTTACCATTTCTCATTATTGGACTTTCCATAATTATTTTCAGTAATAACGGAATATAAGGTTTATATTCTGTTTTAACATTCGAAGTATTCATAATAACGGACATCTGTAAGAAAAATACATAAATAGTAATTGATGACTTGAATACAATTGAATAATGTATACGTACATAAATAAAATTGGTATTAACATGGTCCAAGTATGTATAAAATGGCAACTTTGATACATCAAATCTAGGATGCTGCTTATTACTTTCTGTTGTGTAACTTTTAATATAATGAAAATTGATAAAGTGAGTGGATGGTATAGGAACAGAACTTAATATTTCGTCGGGTACCGGTATCTAAAAGTATATAAAGTTAGTTTCAAAAATATAAATAAATGCATAAATGTAAAATTGCATACTTCATTTTTAGTAATTGCTTCTTGTAATTCCTTTTCTTTTTTTTGAAGACCTTCTTTACCTAAATCTTCAATCTGTTTAGCAACACGAGTCTTTTCTTTCTCAGTTAACTCGTGTCTTTTTTCTAAGCTGGGAATTCCTTTAATTATTACAAATGGAGGATTAAGAAAATATGTCTTTAATAGATTTAACCAATAAGATTCAGTCTCAGTTTCTAATTTTTTAAGATTTTTTATATGATTGGTTCTTTGATCCAACTAAAAGTTTAGAAACGAATATATATTTATTCTAAAAAAATGTTTGAATACAAAAATTTTTATATATATTTACAGTAAATACTTACATCTTCTTTAGTATTGCCATAAAGTGCATATTCAAAAAGCATATGTGCAATTGCATCATGAGGTTCATTTTCTAAACTACTCAAAGTTTCAAGAATACGCCTATGAACAACTGTTCTCATTCGTTTCATATCAATGCCTTTCTCATACACATCATTTAATACTCTTAACAGCTGATCTTTCATTAGAGGGATTTTTGATTTTGGTACACTTTCAAATTCAAGATACAGCATAGATATTGTGTATTTAGAATAAAAATAACCGACATTACTAGCATATGCATTATCAATTTCAACAAATTCTTTCTGCAGTGGACTAACTGATGTGTCTGTTAGATATTTTAAAAGTAATGTACATCCAATAAGATCATACATTTCAGTAATAGCAGAAGGTCCTCGCCAAGCAACATCTACTATACCATTATCTTCATTATCACAAGGATAATATATATCTAGATCTACACTTTCTGTAAGAGGTGGTACAGGATCTTGCCAAGGTTTTTTAAAAAAACCTCTAGGTCCCTGAAACATATATTTTATTCTAATCATATTATGGAAGTAGTAAAAAATAAAAATAAAAATAATTTTATATATACTTTTGATATAATTTTGTTTTCTACAGTTTGTAATGCCTTAAACACATCAGCATGCTTTATTTGACCAGTGATTACTAGTGTCAAATTCTCTGGTCTATAAAATTCCTGATGGTATTGTCTGACTTTTTCAATACTAGTACTTTTTCTTAGATTTTTTAATGCTCCTATAAAAAAATATACTTTTAAAAATATATTTTTTAATATAACAATATAAAGAAAATTTTATACTTTTACCTCCAACAATGGATTTGTAACCACATCTTCCAGGAAAAATTGCTCTAGATAATTCTACATATAACAAATATTCTCCTATATTTTCTTTTCCTTGCATTTCACAATAAACCACACCTGCATCCTCACCTTCACCATTAATATGATGTACTTCAGTAAGAAAACCTGCATCCTTAAAAAAAGAATTTCCTATTTAATTTTATTAATTAAAACATTTTAAATAACAATGTAAATGCAATTATAATTATGACTAATTACAAAATAAATATTTTGTACCGTAAGTGTTGGATAAAGTACATGATCAAGATATATAGGCATTAAAGATAGAAATCCTTCGCTTCCAACAGTTGTCATAGTATAATAAGTACAATCAATTTCTGTTGCAGCATTAGTACCAGATGCCAAACATCTATTGGCTAATAAATCTAAAACACCTTTATATGGGTAATCTTCACTACCTAAGAAAATAAGGTGTTCCAATGTGTGAGGTAGTCCATCATCATCATGAGCTTCAGTAGCTAAATTCATAAGAATAACAATATTACATCATGTATAATGTATATGAAATAATAACATAATTAAATAAACACCATATTTTAAGCAAATACAAGAAATATAAAAACAAAAGAAATTACCAAGACAAAAATAACCATTTACAACAGGTCCATCAACGTCTGCTATACAAACTGTAATTCCAGTATTTCTAGATTTGTAAATGTGTACCGGTATTGTATCATTCGCTTTTATCGAATATATAAAATCAAACGCTCCCATGTTTTCGGCTGGTGAACCGTCTACCGGCGCCATGTTATATTACATTAAATCTCTACTAACTTTACAAACTTCTTGGAAAGCAACACTGATATGTAAATTTTTATATTTGAAAAAATGCAGCTTATTGCAGAGAACAATAGACAAACAATTAAAATTATCAAGAGAAAATCGAAAGTTAAAGATACATATCTCATATAGTGGTTTTGTTATAAAATACTTGTTACCGTAATAAATTTCTAAATACTAAATATATAAGAACCTTATTTATAAGTTACATATGTTATTCTTAATTAAATATTTCTAGCGAGTATTAAAAATACATTAAATAACATTAAAAATATGATAGTACAGAATTATGGACGAATATAGTATTTAAACTATTAATAAATACAAAATTACTAATATCAGAATTATTAAAAAAAATATGTATCTTTTGTAAAAGAAATTTAATACAATTGATGTTTAGGAATTTAATTTATTCAAAAATATTAATGTTTATATAATATTTCTTTAATTTGTTATAAAATCCCTAGCATTAATTATTCACAATCTCCGCATTTAGATTTATGTATACAGATAGCGCTATAGTATTATCTGTTGCGTATCTTTCATTGCAATACTATTGGGCTTAACCTAGACGTGAAGTAAACAAAGAATCAGCTGACAGTTATGGCAAGATATTCTAGTGAATCAGATTCAGATCATAATAGCAGGTATCGTCGAAGACGTAGCAGGAGATCTAGGTAAATAATTTTATACAATTTAAAGTTTTAGATAATAAAATGGATAAAATATATTATATACTTTATTTATGCGTATATGTTGTCCACATTAGAACTATTGTTCTACATTTGTAACTTTGTATATAAAATCATAATTTCCATTAATATGTTTGGTATTATATTCATAGAAATAAATATAATAAGTAGTTTAAAATACTAAACCATTTTAGATCATCTAGTTCAGATTCCAGTGATTCATCTTCACATAGAAGAAGATCATCCAAACATTCAAAAACAAAGCGTAGACATCGCTCACATTCCAGAAGTAGGGGAAGAGATAGGGATCATAATCAAAAAAGTTATAAGAGCTCTAGAAACAGTAGCTCAAAAGGAAGAGAAAGACATAGATATCATTCAAGATCAAGATCTTCAGATTGTTCAAAGAGGAAAGCTAGATCTATCTCAAGGGAAAAGTCTGGAAGTCGTTCAAGTAGTTCACAATCTAATGTAAAAACTATTGTATCTGAAAAAAGTAAAAATATCTTAATAAAAGGTATGATTATGATTGTATTGTTTCAAGATATAAATACTTTACTATTTTTTATTATTTGTTCATGATTTATATAGAAAATATGAATATAAAGAATAAAAGATCTAAATTTAATTATAGAAATTAAGGTTCAATATTAATATAACTCCGTAGATACATTAATCTAACATAAATCTGTACTATGTAGATGATTTTCCAATTGAACCCCGCTTTAAAGAAGGTGTATTAGAAGAAATTAATTCCGAAGGTTTTACACCCAAGCAATTTTCATCTAATACAAAAGAAAAAAAGTTTAAGAACATAGTTATAGACATTAGTGCAGATACTATACAAATTCCAACAGTGGCAGAAGTTCCTTGTGGATCAGAGAGTATTTTTCATTCATCGGTAGCGTATTATTTTCTTTTCCTATGCGTATAAGCGTTAAATATTATACTTGCTATTTCTAAATATTTTTTCTTCTCAGATAATGATTGATCAAGAAGCAAGATTTGACAAATGGGTGAAAAAATTATACACTCTTAGACAAAAAGCTATAGCTGATTTAATACATTCGAATGTTACTTGATAGTTAAATGACATAGCTTTTTTAAAATTTATTGGTAAACAAATGTTATTAAAAGATATTTTGTATTTAATTGTATAAACAGAATTTAAAAAATAAATAAAATATAAGCATTTTATAATTTTCATTAACTCGTTATTTACAAACTTTTTCTGTCAGTAATTTTGTTACTAATTATATTTGTGTCATTTTGTTTGCAGACTAATAAAAATGTGTAATGTATTGTACTTTATAGTATAATATTGCTTATATAAAATTTAAATAAAGTTTTTATAAAGTTGCTTTATTTTCTAAGAAGATAATGATTTGCACGGTATGAATTTTATATCTGTTAAATATAAACATTAGATTTGCGTGATGATAGTATCGATATGTTAGATTCGAGGTATTTGTCGGATTCTTTAATATTTTATTATATTTTACGAATGTAACGCGTTTTATTTATTTTGTGTCGTTAAGTGAAATATATTATCTAATTTGAAAATATTTATCTAATGCGTTTTCTTGCTATATGTTTAAAATAGTACTGATTTCTCTTTTGGCGGTTACCAGCATCTTTTTCTTGCTACGATTTACATTACGACATTTGGGAATTTAATTTATAAATGCGAAAGCGGATTATATACAAGCATCTAATCATATGTACATTACAAACAGGTACTCCATTAATATAAAAATACGAATAATATTATTATTTCGCGCACACATATTTTTCTTAATTATTTAATATTAATAATTATACACCTGTACCATAAATTGTAGAATACGTTTACATAGCGTGAAAGGTGTAAGTGAAAGACTGAACACATTATGGCCTACCGCAATTTTTATTTATGCGGACGTTTGTTTCTACAGCTACATTTTAAACATCGTTAAAATATACATATAATATGATAAATAGTAATAAATACAAAACATATCTTAACAAACGTTAAAAATTAGCATACATCTCGTGATGATTATAAAATCGTGGATAACTTATCGAATGTTAAAGAAAAGGATTCTTATTTCAAACGTTCTTTCGAAGAACACGAATATTGCACGTATATAAAATTTCAAGTGATACGTATAATGGTTACCAGTTGTTTTGCGAATTTTATTTTAAGTACTGAAAAAGGAATCGATTGAGAAATAATGACACTGCGTTTGCTAAGTTAATTAAACGATATTGTTAGTATTATTGCAATTTATATTCCGCTATAAATGAATATATCGGAAAGTTGTATGCAATTAATATCTAATAGTATCGTTTATTTCTAATAATTAACTGTGAGGTCTTTATGTTTATCGTATGAATATATCGTTATTCTCTTTATACTAGGAAGGATACCACGTCTGAAAGAAACGAAGCATTGCAACATAAAAACTTGCACGTTTTCGACGTTAAACGAGTAACCGTTTTCTTCGTTTTGCGATTGTTCAACTGAAAATGTGCTAAAACGATTAAATATATTAGATATCGACGTAAAAATTCGACTGTACTAAAATTATCATCGTTTGCAATTATAGCCACGTTTCTATTGTTCCAGACAAAAACTATCCTATGCGTTATGATAAACGTTGCCCTATGTATTCCCTTTTCGTAGTACACGCGATATATATTACTACACCTAGATGAATATTTAGTACTGGTATCCTCCGTTAGCTGTAGCGTCGCCACCACTTCCAGATGGATATCCACCATTAGCGTTGTTTCCGTTGTTTCCGTTTCTGGAACCGCCATTGTTACCACCTGGTCTTCCGGATGGATACCCCCCTGGTAATTCAATTACATATATATTTAAACGTTATTTGTACAAAATGTTTTTTACTATTTTTAATGGGAGAACTTGATACCTTTACTTGTACGAGACATAATAATAAATAGAATTGGAAAGAAATTCTTATGGAGAGAAAGTTGTGGAAGTTATTAAAGTTACAAAAGTAAACGGAACAATGAAAATTTCTTACAGTTTGTCGTATTATTAACTAATTAAGATATACGTTTCTTTTACCATCGCTGAAGTCAGGTCCACCACCGGGCCTTCCTGACGGATAACCATTGCCATTGGATCCAGCCCCGTTAGGTCCGCCACTTGGATATCCATTATCTCCACCATTACCTCCTGGCCCACCAGGACCGTATCCTTGATTTGCTTCACCTTCGTATCTAATTTGAGGTTTAAATCCATCTTGATCGGCCTCGTATTCAACAATTTGCTTTCTGCCATCGGGAAGCAGAACATTGAACTCTCCCTGTGCACGGTCTCCGTCTCTGCTTTCCGTATGGCCATAATCAGCGCCAGATTGCTCGTCCTTGACTTCGTAAGAAAATTCGTATTTCGCTGGTTCCTACGTAAATAAATACGCCAAATAAATATGAAATGAAATACATCACAACGAGTGAACGAAACGACACGTTATTAGTGTTTATCATATACGAAGTTATAAAAGTGGAGTTTCTCTTTTTTATATTTCAATATTTTAGATGATATCTTCACGAATTTCGTTCGATATGAGGAACTTAAGAAATTCGGAATATTACTCTATAACATACTAAAAATCGAACGTAGCAAAATATTATCTTGATTCATCCTCTACTTGGTACGATAGGGAAAATATTCTACTTGATATCTTCTGAGAAAGATATCGTCACGAATAATCCGTCATGTTAGGTAATTATCACGAATATCCACTTACATTACTTTCATCTTCACCATAACCTCCATTACCGCCACCATTTCCACCTGGTCCTCCAGAGGGATAACCACCATTGCCTCCTCCATTGCCACCTGGACCTCCAGAGGGATAACCACCATTGCCACCGCCGTTACCACCAGGGCCTCCAGAGGGATAACCACCATTACCACCTCCATTTCCACCCGGTCCTCCTGACGGATATCCACCATTACCACCATTAGCACCGTTATATCCTCCATTTCCGCCACCGTTTCTGCCAGGTGGTCCATAGAGTCCCGATGGTCTTCCTCCGTTTCTATCAGGCGTACCGTAGGTTCCGGACGGTCGTCCTCCACTGCCACCGTTTCCACCGTTTCCTCCATTTCCGTTTCTGCCCGGCGGTCCGTAGAGACTGGACGGAGTTCCACCTCCATTGCCACCACCAAAGCCGTTTCCACTTTCCGGTGGTCCGTAGCTGCTCGATGGACTGCCGCCGAATCCATTCTTGCCAGCTCCGTTGCTTCCACCCCCGAATCCATTTCCTCCACCAGGTGCTCCGTAGCTGCTCGATGGTCTTGCTGCTCCTGCACCTCCATTCCCACCGAGTCCATTGGATGGTGCTCCATAAGAACTGGAAGGTTGACCACCACCGAAACCGTTTCCTCTGCCGCTACCGTTTCCTCTTCCACCGTTCGAGCCACCTCTTCCATTGCCAGAACCACCGCCATTGTAACCGTTTCCACCAGTAGGTACTCCGTAACTGTTCGACAGACCATTGCGGCCAGTGTCGCCTCCACCGATAGCATTTTGTCCGTCGAAACCAGGTGGTCCATAGGTGTTGGATGGTCCTCCGCTACCGCCTCCGTTGCCACCGGGGCCACCGCCGCCAGGTGGCAAATACGAATTCACCGGGGGCTCCGAGCGCACCAGCGTCAGGGCCACGATGAATACCGCTAATCCGATCTGTAAATACGAGATTTGAACACGTGTACGTGTCGACTAGACAGTGGGTGAGTTATGACCGGTTGTATAAGTCGGTTGAGATTGAAATTAATTCGGGTAAAGTACGTAGGTGTGGAACGTAGATTTTTAAAGACTGCAGTTTGCTTTGATCTCTGTCGATGCTATTTACTTTCTTATTATCTGTGCGTTTTTAAATCGTCATTGTACGCGTTAGAGGGTGAGTATTTTCAGACTCGCGGGTCGATAATTCGATTCTCCCAATGGATCAGCGATCTAATTTGCGTAGAGAATCTAGTGGTGGATCTAGTGGGATCTAGTGGTGGAATTTTAGCACGAGATACAGAGTGGAACAGAGTCGGTGTCTCTGGCGTTGAGCAACTGAGAATAGGACGTAGAATAGCGTCGGGACATTTCGACGGATGGAACAATCCTCGCCTCGCGCTTCTTCCTACTCGATGCTTATCAGTTGCAACAGATATAATTTCCCTCCTACCTCTCTGGATCCAGGTTTTCTCACCTTAGACATGGCGTTGAATCGGTGGATCTTTCCTCTGGGTGGAACAATAAACCACGCCACCGTTTTTCCCTCGTTTATCCTTGAGAAGGTGAGCCTCTGGATCACGCGAGGTGCTGCACCAGGTAGGCCTGCGTTTCCGTCGGTTCTACCTTTTGGCTATGCACACCTTCCACCGTTGGATGGTGTCGAGGGAATGACAAACTTTGGTTCTAATCCGCTTTATATATCCCGGGATTCATCCGTGATTCTAGATCACGGTTTGGTGCAAGCGCTGTAGGATTTACAGCGAGGCTCGGTGTAACTGTGTCACGGTGGTGTTGAATCAGTCGGTGACGGTAGTGATGGTGAGTGAAGAAGAGTGGGACCGTAGCAGCCACCTAGAGTACGGATTCGTTCCATATTTCACGGGTTACGAATCCTATATTGTAACGCAATGCGGCGCATCATTAACTTGGAGCATCGCTCCTCTCGTGCTCGCTTCTCTGTCGGTCGACGAGAGCGGCAACGAAGAAGGATGCAGGACTTCGTAAGGATACGGACCTTCTAAGGATGGCAACTTGGACCGCTCGTCTTTGTTAACCGGCTTGATTAATACTGCTCGCGTCTGTTCGCATCGGAAACTTTCACGAAATTGTTCGATGCTTGGCGATTCTTCCATCGAACAGCGAGCCAGGCGAATGAGACATTAGGCAACGTTAAGCGAGTGTACTAATTACGGAGGTAACTATCTAATTAGGAGCCAGAACGTTGTTTAACGCGATAGGAAACGATGATTAATCGGACGCTGCTGGTAGCTGATTAATTAGCCGAGAAATTCGAATCTTTTTCCAGCGTCCAAGCGCGAACCTGGTTACCGAGCTTGGGGTGTAACCGCGCCACGCGTGATTTAGGTGTTCCGATTAAACGAAATCACGTAGCCGAAGCACGATGGACATGTATGCATTTCTTATACATCTATGCTACGTGTATTACACCTACGATAATGTTACACGTTTATTTAACCCTTCCGATCTTTCCATGTCTCCATGTCATACTCGTGAATGAAACGCGACAATTTTCTCTAACCACGAATATGAGAAAAAGGAGTTGGAAGAATCTGGCAATTTTTCATCCGATATACCTACACTGTTACGATAATATCGTAAACTATCGATCGCAAAATGGGGCGTACTTGACAAAAGTATCCGTCTAGTCGAATATGTTGCAACGAGCAACTATCGACGCAGTCTTTTAGACTCTTCTTGGACTCTCTTCCAGTCCAGCTTACGCGTTTTTCCTTCTTTTCGTCTCGAGCAAGTAAGATGAGAATTTAATTGATGGCGAAACGAAATGCCGAAACGATGACTGGAATATTTCGGGAAGGTGCCGCGTTAATGGCCGAAGAACGCGCTTTGCTTTTCGACTTTCATCCATCTAATTTCGCAACCGATCAGTAGCCTTCGATACCGAATGTCATGGGTTTGATACAGACCGATTTTTAAATGGCGTAATACACTTTCCTCGCACTTTCAATTTCTCAGGACGTTTATACGCGTTGCCATAACGCGATCCATTAACGCCCGCGTTCGCTTCACCGTCGCTTCTTTTTACCATGTACTTACCGATCAGCGTATATAGTTAACGAAGGATCCAGGTTTATTGCACGGATAAAGCGAACCGTGTCTAACGTAACAACGATGGAACGATTTTAACATTGACAAATATGCTTTCGCGAAAATTCAATTGGCCTCCGTTTAAGGACCGATCCTCCGAGGCTCGCTTAACGTCGTTGTTATAGAGCGAATCCGTTCGATGAGCACACAACGGGGTAAAAAAATGTTTTAGAACCGTTACATAAACCGCGTGCATGTGTATTGGGCACAGCGTAAAGTTTATTTATGGTTATATTAATGTTCAGCAAGTTTTTTCTCCGTGACAAACGACGGGTTAACCGGGATCTTCGGGTCTTCTGACATTTTTCACGGAACAGAATAGAGGCAGCCTCTTCTTCGCGTTCGACGAGGAGAGAAAAATACGCGTACCATCTATGAGCACGAAACCATACCGAAAGATTCTATAAAAAGTTCGATCGCGTAATTCATGTAGGGAGGACTTGGAAAGGAGAGATGGCAATTAAACCTATTATGTCCTATGCGGTTAAGGCAACGACGTGCTTTCTGCCAACCAGGCTTTCTCATACGTTTTTACGAAGTGCACGTCATTGAAACACGAAGGGGTTAAGAACATCGCTGCTTAAAATGCACATACGTGAAGCTCGATCAACTGGAATTCATGCATCTTAACCGTATCCTTTAGCATGTAGTTATGGGCACACCGATGGAAGGGATGAAGCCAATACATCGGTACCGATCAAATAATACGAATCACTTTTCATAGCCGCATAAATCCCAGACCCCGTTCGAAATAGTTTAATCGAAAATTTATAAAAATCTCCGAGTGTACACTTTCGACACGTTTCATTCGTTACGGAAGCTTCTTTTTCCACGATCTTTTAATCGTAGAAATTACGAAATAAATATTTTTTAACGAAATTAGATAGCGAAATAATTATTTTACGCTAAAATGCTATCGATGTCGCATATTCGCCAACTTATTAGCAGAAGTTCGATATTCGAGAAGCACGAGTCTGAATTTTTCGTTAAATCAATCGTCAGAAAGAGCTCGACGACTCGTTCTTCCGACACGGCCGATTCGACAGGCACGCGATTAATAGCGGCGACTAATTAAGCCCGAGTCGTTTAATTATCCCGAAAAATGTCGCGTGGTAGAATTAGTAGGGCACGCAGACACACGGATTCAACTGTCCAACGTGTACACACGCTCGTATCCTGGATGCAGAAAGTTTGTGCAATCAGTGAACTCGTGCTGAATACAGGTGGTGGCAACGTGGGATGTTGGTTAAGATAGGGATACATTATGCAAGATTGCGTCACGGGTTTATTGTATCAGCACCTCATCGTAACACGAGTAAGATAGCGCGGCGGGTACCTAGGATTTTTGCGATCGGAGATTTATGGTATTCGCGAATCCTGAAATTCGTCTTAATCGGTTTAGAACAGTTTCGATTGTATCGCGCCGTGTCCGTTTTATTATACACCGGCCATGGTTTCGAGGCACGTCGCCGTACCGGAGGAATCCTCTTCGTGCATAAATCGCATAGCGCAACGAGGTGCCATGGATCGTTCGGATCTGATAAATGACCGAAGGCGAACTGTTTTACGCTCGATAAAACGGACCTTACGCTGGCACTGATGCATCGCTCGAAATTTTCTACCGATTCGACGGAGCTACCCGGAAGAATACCGGTCCGAACCGAACCACTTCTCCATAGATTCGATCATTTCGGCCAGTCGATGGCAATCGCACGCCACGTTCACGAACGTGACGTTAAAGCGATGTTAATACGCCCGGTGCTTAGCTTCGTTCGAGTTTCAACCAAGTACGCATGCTACTGAACACTGCTTTCGACTACACTTTCGAATTTTTTTTCCAATTTTTCTTCGCGGATAACGCGATAGGCGATGCGTGCAGAGTTACCGAAAAATTCCAACTTTTCCAACAACTTTTTGTAAAAACTCGCGAATATACCGATGTCTATGATTGTAATTCGCCGAAATCTAAAAAGGTACCGATATACGTACTCTCATTCTATTTTTACGAAATTTTATTTATCCAGCACGAATTAATGCATATAACAGCGATAGGTTACTATTGGCTACTATTAAAAGGAGCTTTTTTCGCAACGTTCAGATTAATTTTTATTCGCATAGGAAGATAATTATGTACACTGTTTTCTATCCAATATACCACTTTGGTTATCCTTGTCGACGTGTATTATGTTTAGCCACGTAATACAGATGTACGGCTCTAGAGTCGAGAATACGAATTATTTTTCATTTTGACGGAACAAATGAAGTGTACGTAAAATAAAAGATTACCCAATCTCTCGTAAAACCATATGCGAATACGCGCGAACGTTCCTTCGGTTATCACCGATTAGCGAAAATGATGAAATCGGTCGAGAAACCGTATCGTACATCCACGTAGGCGTTAATTGTTATCCTCGCTAAATGGATCGGTTTCATGGAAAAGCGAACAACGCGGAAGCTTTCTGGCGAATGGAAATTCTTCCCGGGGCTAGATTAATATTATGGACGTGTTGCACGTGGTGCCGGGAGATTAATGTTTATCGCCTGGTCGAGGTAAAAAGGTAAACGAGCAAGGATAAATGAAGTCACGAATGGCTAAATTAACTCGAGGAACTTGCTTAATAGTTTTTCCGATGATTATCTCTGGACAGCGACGCGTCAACGGGGAAAGATGGCAAATTAGTTTCGGAGATAACTGTTACGTAAAGCAATTGCCCAGACTTGCGTACGGCGTGCAACTTTTGCACTTTTATGAGACCCGATTGTTCTTCCGTGACCTTCTTGCGCGCCTCAAACGAGTTATCCGACTCGCTTATTATTAAATCACGTTGCATCCAGGCTTTTCTTTGCACCACCGATCCCCCTAATCGTTTTTATCTTTCGAACGCTTTACGATTTTCCTGCTTTTACTCTCCTCGAGATGAATCTCTCGTCGGGAAGTTATTTATCTCCTCGCCTTTCCATCTCGCCGAGCATCGAAAATTTTCCCTCGTTATTTAGTCCTCTCTGCTGCGTGCCCTGCACGTGCACGACGGACTAACGAGTGTTGGTATTAATCGTCGAACGTGGGTCACACGGTGAGAAATTGTAAAAAATATCGAGATGCAGAGGGAATTCAAAAGATCGAGTGAAAGAACAGGGATGGAAAATGGAAGAGAAGATATACGAGGAAAGAGAAAGAGAATATATACGGAGGAAAGGAGAAAGAACGTGGCATAAATGAAGAACAGAGGAAAGACAGAAGCGCGATGGAAATGGGAGAAAACGTGATACGTGGATATAAGAAGACACCGAGTATACGAGTGTAGCATAACAGGAACATATACGTAGCTGATGCTGCCACGTAGAACTCTGCACTTCACTTTCGACCTTGGAAGATCAACGTTATCCTAACTCTTATCCTAATTCGATTAAGTGTCGAAATTGCGGAATGCAAGGAAATGGCGAAGATACAAAATGGACGAAATGGAAGGAAAAGTATGGAAATTCTCTGCAAAAAAGTGGTAGATATGTATACCATTCTGGTGTCGTTTACGGAAACGTAACGGAAACGAAACGAAAACAGAAACAAACGTCTAAAAAGCAGAAGAAAGAAAATAAAAACGCTGGAGCTAAAATCGGGCAGAAATACAGACGAGCGTCGAAAACGTAAGAGAAATTCTTCCTCTTCGAGAGGAATCAGAAAGATGCGAGAAATTCAGAGGAAACGATAGGATCGAAGCTGGAGAATTAAGGAACGAGGACGATTTGAGAGTTTTCTTGTCACATTCCCATACCCCGGATCGTACACGTAGCTCGATACACGTTTCGATGTACCTGCAGCTCGTAACACGGAAGATTCGTGTCGTTCGCAAATAATTCAACCCCCAGTTCCTGTTATTTATGCAACCTCGACGGTGGCTTATGCAACGAGCCCGAAAAAGAAGGGATGCGAGACGTGTCCGAGACGTTTAAAAGGCCCGTGTGCACATTTACAAATTTAGCAATTCAAAGCACGTTATCATGATATCACGATCGATCCAGCGAGAGTGATAGTTTATCGCTGGATATGCACATTATAATGGGATGCATCCGCTCTAAACTGCGGCCATTTATTCCGATGAATCAGAGCGTGCTTTCTCTGGCCGAGCAAATGCGATATATACCCATTCGATGCACCGGTATAATCGAGCAGTTTCACCACTTCTATTTGATCTGTGAAAGTGTTGGAGGCCTGTGTCTGAAGATGAGCGCTCGTGCTACAGTTAGGTAATGTTCTTTTGCCTGATCTAATTTACTGTCCCTACATCGATCTACAACTGTCTCAGTGAATTGCAACACTTGCGCCGTTAACGATGCAATGCGGTTAGGCGCTTACACTTTTGATACAACGCGGATGACTTATGGCCGTCTAACGCCGCGTTATGCATCGTTGGTCCTTGCTTTGCTCCCGCGATAACGATTTCGAAGGTTCTTCCAGCTGGATTCTCATCTCGTCGCCATATTTTTCTTCCTTTTTCCTGTTTTCCTTTTTTTCCTCTCTTTTTTCGCGCAATTCCAGATGAGCTATATTACTCGCAGGAATCTGATTTTTATTTTTCCAGCACTACGAAAGAGTGCAGAAGAGTACAGAAAGATATAGCATAGATATAGCAGAGTAGCTCAGTAGACTAGAGAATAGTATGGAATAGCACAGAATAGTTTCAAAAAATATAGCACGATACTGCATAGTATAAAAAAGCATAAAATTCTACGGAACATAGATAAATGATAGATAAGCTAAATAGCAGGATATAAATAAATATTATGCAATAAAGATAAAATATAGAATAACTACTGTACGTATGTTCCGATGACTACGATAAAGTCAACCTATCGACGGTTAATTCGGTAAATCCTATATTCTCGAAGCTACAATTTTTATACGTGATCGATAATTACTTAACACCCACTTGTAATTTCTTCTTCACGTTCCTGTTTCATAACCAACAAACTTCGGCTTCTCGCTGACAACATATGTATGATAGATAAGAAACGTATAACGCTAACTTCTTATCCGAGGTGGCGTGATGACCGAAAAATGACCGAAAAGCGATAGATAAAGAGTCGAATCGTATGATCTTCTGAACATTCTTGTACGCTTAAAAAAAATTATGCAACGTTCGTTTAAAATATGCCAAGCGAAACAACGTTTCCAGTGCAAAGGTTAATCTCAACGATCTCGCATTGAGCAACCGATCGAATGAAGGTTCTTGTACTTGAAGCCAGTGAAATTACGTTAATGCTCGCTAACGCGTATAAATCAGGAATCATAGTTAATTTCGTCTGCTCGATCGCCTGCAGTCATTGTATTTCGTCTCTCTCGTAAAACGTGCAGCGTCGAAGGCTACCTTGAGGCCTGGATCTAGCATCCCTGTTCTCTCTTGCAATATGGAGTTCAAGGCGGCATTCGATAAAAAGTAATTGAGTTTTATAGAAAGACGGTGATTTTATATAGGCGAAGACGAAAAAAGTTAAGGTCAAATTCAACAGGTAGATTAAGAAGTCTGGCATTGAGAGAGGATTGATGCACTGACATGTTGAATGATCGAAGAGATTAAATTCTATGTTTGTACTCTGTATTTCATTTCCACCAGACTCTGTATTCCGTTTCTACGTTTGTTACGAACGCGTTGCGAGATGTATTTGAAACAACGCCTTTCAGAAATTTTATTTTTAATTATAATTTCAGTTGCCAATTTTCTTTTTTTATTTTTTATTTACATTTATTTCTCGCATTTTATTTACAGTTATACATATTTTTATATTAGAATATATTGGTCGTGCAATTGTTAAGAAAGATAATTACGTGAAAATGATCTGATCTGAAGGATTGGGATTATGATAAATCAACATTAGCATACACGAGTAATTTGCAGTTGCTTTTAATTTTCCATAACAGTTACGTTATCGAATCGTGGGTGAAAATCTAACGGTTTTCCAAATTATTGCCATAAGTTGCATTTATTTTTAGGATTCATGGGACTACCTACGGGACAGTTGAAAGCTTTGGCAAATTCTTCGGAATTTGAGACCGGACCGATCACCCTCAAACGTGCTGCACTGTGCACGTCATATTTCGCGCTCTTTATGGCAGTTTCCCTGTCTTCTTCCGTTTCGCACCACAACTATAAGTAAAATTATCTTCAAGGTATCAGGCGACTCGAATCACAGAACAATAATGTTTTTAAACGATAAAACGAAAAGTAGGAATTAAATTGTACAATTTGTAAATTCTAAAACTGAAATCGTCTGATTTCAAAATTCTAAAATTCTGAGATGCTAGAATTGGTAGAAAAATTCAGCAATATTTTACCCGAAATTTTACATTATTCTAAAGTAATATCGACATTAAAAGCGTGGCAGAAACTTACGTTTCCAAATGATAAGAAGAAGAGTTGGTCATTGGTAAATTTTTCTAATCCCGGTAGACCAGGGTCCACTTTAGTACATTCTCGTTCTCTTCGTTTGTAAGCTCTGAACACAGCGTGCAGACCCATCGTATCAGCAATATTTTCACCCGCTGTTTGGTTCCCATAATCCTGCAATATTCCCCATTTACATACGCATTAATTTTTCTTTCCTACAATCTCAGTTGCACTGTTTATCTCTAACAATAACTCCTTTTTCTTTATTAAATTATAAAATCTTAAATTATAAAAGTAAACGTAAAATTTAATTAATTAACTTTATATAGATCTTGCTTATTATGGCACTTTCGCGTAAATATAGAAATAAAGCTCAAACTTTATAGCGATATAAGTGAAACTATAAATTCAACATGGAACATTCACCTTGATCGTGTAATTTTCTCCCTTCAGGATACTATATCCGTTATACTGATCCACGAAACACTTTGCTCTCTTATTGTAAGCCTGTGCCATCGCGGATAACCATTCCATTGGTACCCCTTCCTTGTCGTAAAGGTGACCTAATATCGACACGTTCATCAAGTCTTGTCAATTATCTTTCGAGTTGCAATATTTTCATAATAATTCACCTGAATCGTCGAATCCGTGGTTCACCTCGTGGCCCATGACGAGTCCGATAATACCGAAATTCACGTACCTGAGAAACGAAATCGACATGATTCTCGATGAAACGTATACATCCACGATTATGACAAGTTCGATATTTACCATGGCCGGTTATATGCAAAGAATGGACTCTGGAAGTCTGCTGCAGTGATTGCTGTATCGATAAAACAGTTTATCAGAGTTTAAGTATTATTATAATTATTATTGTAATAGAAAATATAACAGAGTATCATTATTCCGTATCACGATAAGATAGAGATATCGGTACGTACATATAGAATTTTCCGTTGGCATGAAGAAAGCATTGAGTTCCAAAGGATCCAGTATGTCTCTGTAAGACAAGTATAAAAATTCAATATCGGTTTAAGTCACCTTGACGTGATTTTCCAACGATATCTTACTCTGCGTTTTCATCCTCCTCTGTCTGCAAAATTCTTCGCAAACGTTTCCACCTCACAGATCTAGCATAGTTCAGTATGTTCTCGTAGAACGAGGTACCAATCGTAAGCTTGGAAAAAGAAAGAGATTTATCGCGACGAAAGAGATAAACAGCGATTAATCGTGACAATTAGTTCAATGACTATTAAAGACTGACAAATTATCAGATATTTAATATCGCCATCGATCATCGTTCAAAGAAATGTTACCTACCCCTTGGAAGTAGCGTTTCACGAGTGTTTCATTTCGATACCAGCTTGGGTAACCGACCCAATTCTTCATGTGCACCAGCTTATCTAAAATAAAGTGTTTAGTATCGTCGTTCATCCACGTCGATTCTTTGATCTGATATTCCACCTCCTTTTGTATATCGTCGATCATGTCTCTGGCCTTAAAGGATAATAAATAATAATTGTGAACGCAGGATGCTTTTTAAGTCACAGTGAAAAGACGTTGATGTATGTTAAACGTTAAAAATATCTTTGTCTCGCAAGACGCGATGATAAGAATTATTACCGATTTCGCTACATCTTCTGAGAAATATTTTTTCACGTATTCGTATCCTGCCACGTTGGATATTTGCACTAATTGCAGGCACATCGAGTCCCTGTGGAATATTTAGTTAAGATTGAGTTACTACAAAAGGATTCGACAATTTTTTGACACGTCGTAGAACTCGATATTTCGAACAATTTTCTTCAACGTTCGTTACCATTTCTCGACTATCAACTCTAAAGATATTTCCAACTTTTACTATTATTCTATCGAATGTTAATTTGTACGACGTATCAAAAAGTTATCCAAGTCGATGGATACCCTAATCTACCTAATATATTATTTTCTAATTATCTTTTCGCGCGAAGATCTCGTTACGAACCTCGTGGGAAAGCGTCGAGACATACCCATCCATTCCTCAGCCAAATTTCTCAAAGCTTCCGGACCAGCTATAATCGCTTTATTAATAAAGGCCCAGTGAACGTAGTTGACTGTAACAAATGCGGTAGTTTACACGATTAGTTTATAGCAAGGGTTAAAATGAGAATAGTTTTATGTTAACAAACTCACCGAGCACTCTTTGCGGGGTTTCCGTGAGCAAAGCATAGAGACCATCTATGTAATCGGGAGATGCTAATACAATTTCTACGTTTTCATCGATCTCCGCTCCAGCCTCGGCAAATATCTTCTCTATTTTCTTAATCCAATTTATCTGAATAATAATGTAATTAATTAATTACATAAACGTTTATTTCGGCATCTGTGAAAATATTTGATCAAAGAGTATTTAAGCAAAGTGTCTTACCTTGTTAGTGTGGGTAGTATCGCCGCAGCTTTTGTACAAGTATTGCAGTTCAAGAAGCGTCATATTTACGGGTTCGTCGTCGAGCAGGAGCGTTAACTGAAATAAATAAATATCATTACGAATAAATTGCAAATATCGAATAAACAGCAAATTCGTTACGATATAGCGAGGATTTACTTACTTCGCCTAGTTTAACTATGAATTCAACGAGATCATCGACATCTTTCTCCATCTGTTCCCTTGCTATCTCGATTCCTCTCCCATTAGAAAGTATTATCGATACATTTAATATGTGATCTTTATATTCTTCTTTTAGCAACTCTATTACTACTTCTTCCAGGTCGTCATCGTCGATATCAAATATGCTGTCATTATCCTCATCGTCATATTCGCTATCGTTATCATCGTCGCTGTCCTCTTCTTCGTCAGTGTCTTCGTCTTCATCATCGTCCTCGTTAGATTCATTATCTTCGTCGTTACTTTCATTATCTTCGTTATCATCGTCATTTTCTTCATCGGACTCGTCGCTACTGATATAATTATCATCGTCATATTCTTCCTCGTTGTAATAGTTACTTTCGTCCGAGTTTGATACTTCGGAATCATCATCCTGTGTATAATACCTGTTGGATGTGTGCTTGCGTTTTGAAATGCCCATTTTGTTCATAGCACGATGAGCTTCGTGATTGGCTATTTTCTGGTGCTTATGACTTTCCGTGTTATGTAATTTTTCTTCTGTTCTATGTAATTTTTCCTTCGTCTTCTTCGCTTTCGTTCCCTCTTTTTCGTGAGCGTGTCTTTCAACTGCTTTATTCTTATTATTCTTCCTTTTGCTGTGTCCTAGTCGCTTAGCAGTCTTCGTTTTGACTATTTTCTTCTTGCGTAATTCTTCTTTGTTAATAGGCCTTTCCATCTTCCTCCTTCTCACGGTATTCTTACGAGGCTTTAACTTCTTATTCGAATGTTTCTCTAAAGCCTTATGTCTCTTATTATTTCCCTTCTTACTCAGTTTATGGCGCAACAAATTCTTATGCTTCGATAAGATTGCCCTAACGCGATGATGAGCTTTTCGTTTCAAAATGTCTCTCTTAGCGATTCTCTTCGTTCGATCTTTACTAATATGTCTATTCCCCATTTTCTTCTTACGCTGCCACCTTCCACCGTGTCTCAATTTTCTATGATGCTTTCCAACTTTTACTTTCCTCTTACCTTCATCTTCTTCTTCTTCGTCGCCCGAATCGCTAAAGCTCAAGCTTTCACTCTCTTCGTTTTCATCGTCATTTTCATCTTCATCTTCGTCTTCTTCGCTCTGCTGTTGTTGACCTTTTTCTCTGCTTCCTTTCTCCTGACTACCTTCTCCACTTTCGTTATTTTCGTCACTGCTGTCTAAATTGTAATCTTTCGCTGTCGAAAATATCTTATCTACGCCTATAGGTAAATGTGGTGTCTCGATCTGAAACATTATTTAGAGGCGCGTTACTTAGAACAACGAGCCAACGTTCATTTCGATTCTCATGGATCATGATCGTACCAGTATCGTATCGTTGCCTTCAAACGTCAACCTGGAGTAACGTATATCGTGAAACGCGTTGAACCCTATTAAACGAGCAAATTGGTCATCGACTATTTGCCAGCTGTATATATCCGAGTCCCATTCTCCATCTTCCATGATAAGTGGCCATCCTCCGTGTCTCCACAGGGTGGAGAGTATCGGTTCGACTCCTCTTTTTTCTATGGCATCTGTAGAACGTACATTTCATTTCTATTATTCTCAATTGTATCTCGGTGTATTAATTTTTATTAGATGAAAAAAATATATCATTTTCTTTAATAAATAGCACGAGTTTTAGAATATAATTCACATCGATGCGTTTGCATGGATTTATGTCAATTGAGTACGTACCTACGTCCATGCAACTGCGGTACCACTTTTTGGCAAGCTTCACTGCGAAAAGATCGCTTGATTTCATGTCACTTGTAATTATATCTGAAAACAAAAGAGAAATTATTAAGATGATATTGATATCGTATTTTAATAGTATCTTAATTTAACGAATAATACGAACCTTCAATTTGACGCTCGATTTTCTCTTCTACCATGGACCACAAGCTCCATTGGGTCCTATTTTCCGGAATGGGGTTGATCTTTGACCAATTTCCACAAGCATACTCGTAAAAATTGTCACATGGGTCTACGGTCTCGTCCATACTGTCCTTGATTACTCGTGCTGCATTGCGAAAGCAAAAATTGATATTAAAAAATATAAAGTAGTAAATAAAAAATATATATGTCAAATTGTTTATTTGGAAGGATTGAAAAATTATCGATTATAATATTGGATGAATACAATGAAAAGATCTATTGACGCTATAACTTCGAATGCAAAAATTAAAATCGTGAAGGATTTCAAAAATTTCGTAATCCGTTCCCGAGTAATAAAAATAAGTCGTTCTCTGAGCTAATTTACTTTCACGTAGATATTCAATTTCGGTTTTATTGTACGGCAATTATTACTTACCAATTAAGTGGCATTCTTCGGTTTTACATATTTCTCGTTCGTTCTTCCTTTCCTCGACAGCATCCTCCCGTTTTATTCCAAACAAACGTTGCAAACTGTGAGGATAATTCAGCAGAGAGTGTGGTATTAAAGATGCACTTAAAACAGCACACAACGATGCCCTGGAAATATTTGCGAGATTAAATTTTACAAAAGATCTTCCAACAGAAATTGTTTTTGATAATGTTATTCTGAATTTTCAGCTTACAGTAACAATAGACGTAACATTTTAACGATGTGACCGAAGCCAAACTTCGTAAAATTAGAAGTTAGGCTTTCGATGCAACATCCAGTCTTGCTCTACGACGTGTGAGAAACACGGCGGCTGTGAATTTTATACTAGTAGAGGGGACATAGCCATGAAAATATTTCTGCAATGTCCTGATAAAATATTATAACATGTTTCTGTATTAAAATAGATAGAGAAAGATCTGCATCCTTTGCCCTTGTGATTTTTGTAGATGTAATGTCTCAATATCGCACCCAGGAACTTCATTGATAGTACCATTCCATTCATTTCCGTTTGGCACAGATGATTATATCAATTAACGAGTTCTTAGAGGTCTGATAATTTCAATTAAATGTACATGACTTCTATTCCGGTGTACTAGTGCAATTTTCTAGCACTTCAACCAATTATGTTGAATTTTCGGAAGTAGATGATCATTTGCCATTTTTACTTCAGACAGAACACGCCGTAAATTTGACAGAGGGTAGTCTGAAACGCGAATACATTGGGCAATTATCATCGGTCAGTACTATGGGCTAATCGAATCCACCGTCCACTTCATTCATACTCCATCCCGCATAATTATTAGTCAAATTTAAATTATATTAATTTACAACTTAATTATGTAATAATTTAATATCTTCTTCGTTTCATTTATACATTTATTCGCATTTTTATTACCATAAAACTGCTAATATGCTACATATGTTATACACACTTCAATGCATAAAATGCCGCATGAAATTTTCAAGTATAATCATCGAACACTGAGATATAAATCAACAAAATTGACAAAATTTTGTGCCTCTACACATCTTAAGATTTCCAGCATGATAAATCTACAGACACATCTCGTACTCAAGAAATTTAATTTCAAACAGTTCTCCCATAAACTTCCTACATTTCCAATAAATATAAACTTCGTAAATGACAGATCAAGTATATATACAATTTGCAAAAAGTTAAAAAAATATTATATTTATAGTTAGTAACAAAATAATATTGTTAATAACAAATTGTTCATAAGGAAAATTTATCATGAAAGTGAAAAAATTAATAAATTATTGGCTACTACTTGAATTTTAAATGTAACTGCGTTAAAATGTACGTATAATCTACAAAAAAGTTTATAAATAATTAAACCAAACCTTGCCTAACCTAACCCTGGCAAACCTAACCTTGGCTAACATAACCTTGGCCAACATAACACTGGCTAACATAACCATGGCTATAATAACCCTGGCTATAAATAACCGTGGCTAACCTAACCAAGGCTAACCTAACCATGGCTAACCTAACCTAACCTAACCTAACCCAACCAAACCTAACCTACCTTAACCGTGGCTAACCTAACCTTGGCTAACCTAACCGTGGCTAACCTAACCGTGGCTAGCCTAACCGTGGCTAACCTAACCTTGGCTAACCTAACCTTGGCTAACCTACCCAAGGCTAACCAAACCATGGCTAACCTAACTTAACCTAACCTAACCTAACCTAACCTAAAATAATCTTAGCTAACCTAACCTAACCTAACCTAACCTAACCTAACCTAACCGTGGCTAACCTAACCGCGGCTAACCTAACCATGGCTAACCTAACCATGGCTAACCTAACCGAGGCTAACCTAACCACGGCTAACCTAACCTAACCTAACCTAACCGCGGCTAACCTAACCATGGCTAACCTAACTGAGGCTAACCTAACCATGGCTAACCTAACCATGGCTAACCTAACCGCGGCTAACCTAACCATGGC